AAAGCTCCATCCACTGAGCCTGACCGGATCTTAGTGTTGGAATCAGCACGGCAGCCGGGTCCCCATCAAGACCAATGCCCGGTGCTGCCCACTCTCGGTGCTCCCTGCGGCCCGGTGGGTTAGAGCAGGTTTCCTCCGAGCCCAGGCGGCCGGCTAGAGGGGCCGAGGCCGCGCCCCTGCTGAGGGCGTCGGTCAGAGCCACAGGAAGCGGCATGCGCTCACCTGCTGGATCTTGACGATGATCTTGGTCTTCTCGTTCTTGCCCACGTAGTCCGACAGCCGCTTGGTCCTGTGCAGCTCCTTGCCCGCCCACCACAGCTGCGCGTCCGGCTCCGCAATCACGCTCAGCGCCGCCTGCCGTGAGGGCCCTCCGGTCACAGACCCCTGTGGTCCCCGCGGTGGAGCCCGGCCGGTGCCCTGCACGGGGTCCCCTCCCCACCCCCCTGTGCCGGGAGCCTGGCCGGTGCCCTGCCGGGGTCCCCTCCCCCTGGCCCCCCCGTGCCGGGAGCCCGGCCGGTGCCCTGCACGGGGTCCCCTCCCCACCCCCCTGTGCCGGGAGCCCGGCCGGTGCCCTGCCGGGGTCCCCTCCCCCTGGCCCCCCTGTGCTGGGAGCCTGGCCGGTGCCCTGCACGGGGTCCCCCCCCCCCCTGTGCCAGGAGCCCGGCCGGTGCCCTGCATGGGGTCCCCTCCCCCTGGCCCCCCCCTGTGCCGGGAGCCCGGCCGGTGCCCTGCACGGGGTCCCCCCCCCCCCCCTGTGCCAGGAGCCCGGCCGGTGCCCTGCACAGGGTCCCCTACACCCCCAGGTGTGAGCCATGTCCCCGGCCATGCTGGCCCCCTCGCACCCCAGCTCAGAACTCCCTCTGGACAGAAGCTGCCGGGGGAGGAGGGTGAGGCCGGGGCCGCTGGGGGGAGCGCACAGGCGGAGCCTCACACCTGGGTGCCCGACAAGTCCTCCTTGTTCTCAAACTCCATCCGGATGGGGTCGTAGGGCGGCAGGCCCATGGGGTACACGATCATCACCGCCCCGCGCAGCTGGTCCAGGGCGTCCTGCACCATCTCCATGGTGACGCAGACCCCGGCGTCCACTTGTTTCTGAAAGCGGCAGCGGTGACATCAGCCACCGGCACAGGCCGCCCGCTCCGGGACAGGGAGGGCCGGGCGCCAGAGCAGCGGGAAGAGGGAGGCCGGGCAGGGACCAGCGCACCTTCGAGATGACGGCCTTGGCTTCTTCTACCGTCTTCCTCAGGACTTCCTTCATCTTCTCGTTGGGAGCTGCACACACAGGGAGGGGGGCGCCGTCACCTCCCGGAGCGGCCGGCGGCCTCGGGGCTCGGCCTCGGGGCACGGGGTGGGGGCGCCCCACGCACGCGCAGAGGCGCCGAGCAGAGCAGAGCTGGGAGGCCACACGTCAGCCGCGTGGCCGTCTCCCCTCCGCTCAGCGGACGGTCCTGGCCACGGCGCTGTGAGGGCTGGGGAGCCCGCACGGGGAGCGCTCACCGCGGCCGTTCCGGCGTCCCACGGCGTCCTTCTTGAACCCGGCGCCGCCGCTGGGCACGCACCTCTCCCCCCACTCGTCCCGGAGCTTCAGCTCCTCCACCTGCTCGTCCGTCAGGCCCTGCATGTTGGGCGGCAGGAACACGCCGTGCTCCGCCAAGTCCTCCACCTCTGAGCACAGGAGAGGGCGCCGGTCACAGGGGCACCGGCACCCACACCGGCGCCGACACCAAGACCGACACCCACACCGGCGCCGTGGCCACGGGTCTGCCGGCGGCCCCACTACCTGACCCCGCCAGGCCCCATGTGACCTCCCGCACCTGACCTCCGGCCTGGTCGGCGGAGGGCGGAGACCGGGCTGGCCGTCCAGGCGGCGCGGTGGCCGGCGGCCGGGCGTGGCCTGGGTGCGGAGCTGGCCCCGGGCTCGGGAGGCACAGACTGGAACTCTGCCAGACTGCACCCCGAACCGGCCTTCTGCTCCCCGAGTCTGTGCCCACCGACCCGGTGACTTAGGCACCCAGCCCCCTGCAGCCTTTCACAGAGACTTTGGAAAAACACTTCACAGATGATTTAAGATACCCGGCAGCGGGAGACTGAAGGCAGTGCACCCTGGGGAGCGGAGACAGGATGAAGCCGGGTCTCTGGTCCCGCTTGCTGTCCCAATGATGCTTCACGTTTCCTATCCCACGTGCATCCACCCCGAACCTGCCTACACTGTAACCTGCCGGTATTTCCTCCCTCCCTCTCCTCCCTCTCCCCCTTAACCAGCCGGTCCGGGCCCTGGGCCTGCCGGTACCCGGTGGAGACCCCGGACGTGGTGACTGCATGGAGCAGCCGTGACGCCCCTCACATCCCCAATCTGAGCCCCGGAGGGGGCAGCCGGGCGGGGCCGTGGGGACGCCTGGGCAGTGGCCACCTGAGAGCCATGAGGGGCCTCAGTGCGGACAGGCCGGCGGGCAGCGCCACGTTCTCACGGACCATTTTATAAACGTAAGCCGAGCCCCCTTTCCCCCAAACGCTCTGATGGTGAAGTGACATCGGCTGGAGAGTAAGCTACTGGTTTGGGGAAGGACTTCAGGAATAGTGACAGCACCTCCGGAGGACAAGCCCCGCCCCAGGAGCCGGGCCGGTCCATGGAGAACAGCGGCCAAGCGGGGCCAGGGCCTCGGACAGCGCCTCCCGGGGGCTGGGGGTGAGGAATGGGGGAGGGAAGGGCCGGGGCGGGAGCGGGGGCCGGCAAAACGCTCCGCTCGGGGTCTCGGCACCGGCCACTCTGCAAACGGCAGCGCCCGCCCCGCCTCTGGGTGCCCCCGGCCCCGTGCTCTTCCCTCTCCACCCGGAGGCTCCGGGGCTCCCCGCAGCCCCGCCCCGGCCCCGGCCCAGACCCCCGGCCCCGCCCCGGCCCCCGCGGACCCACCGGAGCACAGGCGCTGCACCTTGAGCCGCGCGTTGTGCACGCGGGCCGCCCGCTCGGTCAGCGCCCCCAGCTCGGCGTCCGCCGGCGCCCGCAGCAGGAACTGGCTCTCGTCGCCGCGCTTCACGTGCAGCAGCACCATGGCCCCGGCCCGGCCCCGGCCCCCGGCTCCCCGACCCCGGCCCCCGGCCCCCGGCCCCCGGCCCCGGCCCCGGCCCCCGGCTCCCCGACCCCGGCCCCCGGCCCCCGGCCCCCGGCCCCGGCCCCGGCCCCGCCGCCAACCGCCGGAACCCGCTCCGCGCCCCGGCCGAACCACGCGCCGCCGGAAGTGCCTGTTGCCAGGGGCAACGAGGAAACACAGCGCCCTGGGGGCTGGGGGCGGTGCTCACGTCCAACCCGGGTGGGGACGCGGGGTGCGCGGGGAGCGCGGAGCCGGGGAGCCGGGGAGCCGGGGCCCAGGCCCGGGCAGGAGCCGCGGCCAGACCCGCACGGACCCGCCGACCGAACAGCGGCTCGCCCCGCCCCCGGAAGTGGCTGTTGTCCGGGCAGCGCCCCCAACAGACGGAGCGGCGGAGGCCGCGGCTCGCACGTCCCCTCGGGAGGACGGACGGGCGGTGGCGGTTTGTGTGAACCCTCGTGCCCCGGGGTCAGCTGCACTTCCGCCTCCTGCAGCGCCACTTCCGGGAACGCCCCGCTGCTTCCGGTCCGGAGCTCGGCGCCGAGCTGGGGTCGCCTCCCCGGTGGGTGGCTCCCCGGCGGTCCCGGGCGCCGGGCCGGGCCTGCCCGCCGCCGACGCACCCGACCGCACGTCCGGCTTCCCGAGGGGCCGCCGCCCGCGTTAGAGGAGCAGCCGGGCCTCCCCGGAGCGGCCGCGCTGTGACCGCACGTGGTGTCTGCAGTCCCGCCGCCCGCTCCGAGCCCCGGCTGCCCGGCAGCACCTGGCGGCGGCGGCAGCGCCGAGGGCCCGGGCCGGGAAGGCTGCTGGCCGGACCGCAGCCCAGCGGCGGAGCCCGGGAGAGGGCTCAGGACCGCCCAGGCCCGGCGGCAGACGGTGCCCGCTCCCGGTGGGAAGGCCCAGCTCCCCTGAACACTTCTATTAATAGCAATAAAAGGAAGTGCCTGTTGGTGCACACACCCTGGAGGAATCTCCCGAGGGCTGTGCTGACTGGAAAAGCCATCTCCAAAAGGTTCCATACCATATGCATCCACGCCTTTATTTTTTTTATTTTTAAAACTTTTTATTTCAGAGGAGGAGAGGGAGAGGGAAACATCGATGATGAGAATCATGGATCGGCTGCCCCCTGCACACCAGGGATCAAGTCCTCGACCGTGACCTGGTTCATAGGTCAGTGCCCAACCACTGAGCCACACTGACCAGGATCTATTTATATAAAATTCTTGAAGTGGCAAAATTACAGAAATGGCCAAAACCGGTTTGGCTCAGTGGATAGAGCATCGGCCTGCGGACTGAGGGGTCCCCGGTTCTATTCAGGTCAAGGGCATGTACCTTGGTTGCAGGCACATCCCCAGTAGGGGGTGTGCAGGAGGAAGCTGATCGATCTCTCTCTCATTGATGTTTTCAGCTTTCTGTCACTCTCTTCCTCTCTGTAAAAACTCAGTAAAATAAATATATATATATTTAAAATTAGAGAAATGGGGAATAGACTAGTGGTTACCAGAAGTTTCAGACAAGGGGAAGAAAGGGTGATGGGACGGGAGGGAGTGGGAAAGGGCATGTGAGGGAGGACTTCGCAGAGATGAAATGTTCTGTCTCCATGTGAACTCACTAGTCTTGCTGAACATATCCACTAGGGACAAATGGGTCAGGGTACCTGGGATCTCTTATTTCTTATAGCTGCATATAGATCTCAGATTATCCTAAAACTACAGAGTAACTGCACGGCTTCTGGATGAAGATCACTAATCTCAGTATCTTCTCAGAGTATTGGGAAGTAAAATGGATGAAAAGAAGATCTTGAATTTAAATGCCTGATTTGACAACAAGAGTGAATCCCCAAAGGCTACTAACTTGACATGCCAATAAAGGTCAGGGAAGACGGCTGAGAAAGAGTCTTCCCTCTGAGCAGCGTGGTCGGTACGGTAGAGAAGGTCTGTTTATTTCACATGACAGCACATTTCACAGGATCTGTACAGGATGTACACCACTGACTGTAATATAGACTCCTAGAAAGTACATTATAAATATCGTGTGCCACATACGCAATAAAGCTCTTACATATGAACAGCAATCTGCTGTGGAGAACAAAGAATTCACAGAGCTCCTCACTGTCTGACTTCTGCCTGTTTTTAATGGAACTGGTAAAGGTTTCAGTAAGACAGAGTAATGGCTGTTCTCGCAGCATACCTTTGGCTCCCACAGCTCTGTGCCCTTGCAGCACCCTGCCGAATATGTCCGGACTGAGGCCGCTGCTGCTCGGTGTGCTTCAGGCGTGTGCGGGATCGCCAGGAGCACTCAGAGCGGCCGCCGTAAGGAATTGCTTGGCTAATAGAGAGCAAACACCACACACGGGTCACATAGAAGCTAAAGCCACCATTAGGACAAGGTAGTTCACGTGTGAAGCGTCCCACTTAGAGGAATACTGCTGTTTACGATACACTGATGCTGAAATGCTTAGAACCTCAAAAAGCACAACAAAACTCACAGGAGTTACTGGCTGAGGACGGAGGATTCCGTCTGTAAATGGAGTATGCTGGTAACGTTTAAGCAGCCAGAAAAGCACTTTCCCCAGGGATTTGCTTTCTGTGGCCGAGTGCAATGCAGTTCTGTGCTCTTCCACTCGCACCGCGGACCCCGCTTCCTGCTATGCCCCGGGCACACAGTCAAGGTTCAGTGAGGACAGGGGTTTAGGTGGACAAATAGAACGCTTGACAGAAAGGAGCATTAATGTGAGTCTTACTGGGTACCGATGACTTCAGCTTAAATTTACAACAAAACCACCGCCCAAGGATTTCCTGGTTGGGATTACTTAATGATATCAAAATACTGCATTCTGAAATTCCACGTGCTTCATGAAGCGGGGTCACGGACCAGCAGAGCAGGAGGGAATCCACCGCCTGGCGGGCGCCCCGCGGGCCCGCAGCCTCCGCAGGGAGAGACACCTGCAGGGGAGACGCAGTGCAGAGCGCCCTGCTCACCCCGCAGCTGCTCTCCCGGCTGAGGAAGCTCCAGAGGCAGAGCAGCGGGTGGGAGATGGAGGGAGCAACACACACCGTGTACAGAGGGGACATGGCGCTGAATTTCTCACTGAACCCACAGCACGTGCCTTGCAGACACACGCCACCCGCTCCTCAGAGAGGGCTGGAGTGTCTGCAGGACAGGGACCTGGACAGAAAGTACCAAGGGGCGTGTGTGTGTGAGAGCGAGTTCCTGCAAGGAGAGAAAATGCTGTTTCAGGAGTGAGGATGATTCTAGTTTGGGGGAAAAATTAAATGTCCAAATTTCACTAACAGCCACCCTTCTGATAATGAAATATTGGAGAGAGAATCGCAGCGCCTTTAGATACAGATTTGGTCTGGTTTAGGTGACGTGTTAGAATGTGAGTGCTCACACCACACGTGTGCACGTGTGCACTCCCTTTCCTTACAGCGATGCCTCTCCGATCCCGTGTCAGCGCCACGCGGCCAGCTCTTGGTGACTGCTCGGGAGCGCAGAGCCAGGCCGCGGGGGTGTGGGGCCTCCTGAGGCTCTGGGGAGGCAGGAAGAGGCTGAGTGGGTCTCCTTTCCGGAGTGGTTCTGAGCACTTGTGGCTACTGCTCGTTCCCCCACAGAAACACACCGGACGCAGTGATAATGAGGAGGTTTCCCTATTCCAGTACACACACTCCCACTCTGTACACAGGACACGGATTTCTGGGCGTCGGTGCAGGAACAGGGACTATTGCACGTAACGGAGAACAATGCGGGTCTCGCTCTGCCCAGCACCGAGCGTGGCCTGTGGCTATCTTTCTGTGAAGTCTGGAGCGGGAGCCACCGGGGCCAGCGCGGAGAAAGGGTCGGCTGGAGGGGCAGGGCCGGCGGGGAGCGCAGAGCTGGGAGGCGGGGGCGGCCTCCGCGAGGGCAGCGCGCAGAGGGGGACACCTGTCCCTGTCCCCCCGTCATCGCCGAAGGCCACGCCCGGGCCCGAGGACGGGCCTGGCCAAGGGCCCAGGGGGTCCGGACCAGCTGCCTTCGCCTTGGCTCTCACACCGAAGTCCTCTTCCTCGAAGGTCACCCACCCCCGCGGGGGGTGGGGGCTCGCCGTGGCCTGGGCCTGCAGGTGAGTGCTGTCCTGGGAGCCGTGGGGCTGGGGAGGGGGCGGGCCGCTGCTCTGGCCCTGAGGCCCGGGAGCAGGGAAGGGAGCGTGGGGGACGGGCTCCACGGGCCGCACGGCCGCCTCCGCGTCCCTGGACGGGCCTCTGAACGGGTTGGTCCTGTCGGCAAAGAGGTCCGAGCTGGGGAAGGCCGGGGCGAACGGGTTCAGAGCGCATCCCGGGTTCTCCTGGGATCTGCTCCGAGCGGGAAGTGGAGGCAGCGCCGGCATGCAGCTCACGGAACTCGAAATGCTGATGTTATTGTGGGTGGCAGGAGGCAGGGGGACCACCCCCGTGAGGACAGGGGTGGGGTGCACGGGCGGCTGGGCCTGCGGCAGGGCAAGCAGACTAAGTGACAGGTCTTTAAACGGGTCGATCTTCGAGGGCGAGTCCAGCCTGGCAGGGGGGACGCCGTTGGGGTTCACCTGGAGAGAAACGGCACGCAGTCAGAACACACACCTGCAGGGACACGCTCACTGCCCACACCGCCTGAGCTGGCTTTCTGTCTAACTGCTCTTGTCAGGGGCAGGCATAGAGGCTTAGAGAACAAAGAGCAGCTTAGTGTCCTTATTACTCCGGTGGATTGAGATAAAACAGCTAAAACCTTACTCTTGAAAAACTCCCAGCTAAGTAAATCCATCTATTCAATACAGCTGTTTTGTCGATGCAGGTATTGACCTGGTCCCCGGAACCGTCAGGACGAGCTGTGCTCAGGCCCAGCAGGGACTCGGCACTCTGAGAACCTGCCGATGCTCCGCCCGGGGGATTCCACCCCCGCCTGCGATGGCCGCGGGACTCATTCTCCTGCATCCACGTTCAGTGCGGCTCACGTGCCAGGGAAACGCAGGGATGAGCTCGAACTGCCAAGGCACTGCATCCTGAGCGAGGCCTGGCGCTTTCCTCCCCGGGGAGCGGGCGTGCCTCCTCTGCTTTTGGCGTCCTGTGGGTCCTCTAGAAGCAGCTGAGTGACGGGACAGCTAACTGACCCGCCTCCTCTGTAATTATGTCCAGAGCGCGCTGGTATGCTTGGTAACCATCCCGCAATGGTGACTGACACCTATCTTCATAAAGGTCCCGTCTACTTGGTTCGTTAACTCCGTGACCACAGTGAGCTGTGCCCGGCGTGGTGCCCAGCATGGTGCTCTGTCTGCGCCCAGGCTGGGGGTCAGGTCCGCGGCTTCAGTGCACCACGGTGGCTCGGCCTGTGCATAGGAAGCGGGGAGGGAAGCGCAGCCGGACTGAGCTCGGCCGTCTCCCAGGGAACAAAGCCAGGTCCCGGCCACAGCAGCTGCCAGGCACTCTGTTTTAAGTTGAAAACAAGGTGGACAACTCGGATGCCAATGCCTCATTTAAACATAAAACAAGCCTCTGGGCGCAGAGGGAAGGAGAATTCTAGCGCAGGGCGTGCGAGGTAACACGATGGAGCGCCACCACCATGAATGCAGCTGCTAAGCCAACAGCTAAACGTTCACGGGCCACTGCTCCCCTGGGCGGGACCCCTCCACGCCCCGGGCCTCCGAGCAGGGCCTCGGGCCTCGGACAGGGACGGCCGTGCCTCTGGAGGGACGGGGTGGTCAGTGAGCAGCTACTTCACGTATATGAGCGTCTTGTCCAGTTGGTCTACCGCATACTTTACACTTGAATGAATAAGTGTGTTTTTCTCCGAACAATGACAATAAATTTGTAGAAAATGAGAGCATGTCTCAGACTATATTCTGAGAACTAGAGGTAAGCGGGTTCATACGTGGAAATCCCTTCAGAGACATCATGCAGTTCGTCAGCTCCATGTGTCAATAACGTCTGGGTGGCACATGGAGCTGACGCAACAGAACAGAACAGGACAGGGAGCCGGTCTCCATGGTGACAACAGTCCACACGCAGACGCCGCATGAGGAGAAGTGAAGGGCCGGGCGCAGGCGGCGGTGTTTTCGGAGGAAGGCATGGAGACCTTTGAACGGCCCTGATGGGAACTGACTTCCATCTTCCTGACCCCCGAGGCTTCCTCACTAAAAACCACCTGCAGCTACAATTATCTGAAAACATTTTCCCAAAAGAAACTCAAGAAAAGGATTAATTATGCCAAGAACCAATTTAGTTTTGCCAAATAGACTTTCATATACATAAAACTTACCTTATTGAAGTTGTAAGTTTTAGTTTTGTTAATTTTAATTAAAAAAGAAACACAGCCGGGACCGGTTTGGCTCAATGGATAGAGCGTCGGCTTGGGGACTGAAGGGTCCCGGGTTCGATTCCGCTCAAGGGCATGTACCTTGGTTGCGGGCACATCCCCAGGAGGGGGTGTGCAAGAGGCAGCTGATCGATGATTCTCTCTCATCGATGTTTCTAACTCTCTATCTCTCTCCCTTCCTCTCTGTATAAAATCAATAAAATATATATTTTTTAAAAAAATAAATAAAAAAATAAAAAAATAAAAAAGAAACACAGAGCAAAATATCATAAAGCATAAACAAGAACTAAGATGGTTTCTAAAAATTCAACATACTAAGAAAAAAAAGCAGGTTTGATGACATGAGAACAGAGTTTATTAATGTGACAGGTGGCTTAAGAATGGGTGGGACTTAGATGTATGAGGCAGAAGACCCATACATCCACCTATGAGCTGCGACAGACGAAAGAGAAGCAGATAGGAGTTGAGAAACAATCCGATACCTGTTACCCTGACGGCCGCTCCTGCTTGGAGAGAGGAACAGACAGCAGAGGAGAGAGTTAGGAGGCACCGGGCCGCTCTGCCCCGCGAGGCGCCCCCAGCGCCCATTCAAGCAACAGTTCCAACTTACTTGTCATTTTGAACAAAAAATGTGTTGCTGGGTTAGGGCTCACAGTTCAGTTTTATCTGCGGTGGATTACTAACCAACGTGTTTCAAGTTTACTCCAAAATAATAATCCAAGTAGGTTATCAAAGCTCTAAAATATTCTAAGCAGCGCATCATGGGTGAAATGTTTGCATTCCCACCTCCCCTTACCCCCCGCTCCCCGGATTCAGTGATGAGAGAGAACCATTGACCGGCTGCCTCCTGCACGCCCCCCACTGGGGATGGAGCCCGCAACCCGGGCCTGTGCCCTGACCGGGAATGGAACCCTGACCTCCTGGTTCCTAGGTTGACACTGAGCCACACCTTTTATGTTTCAAATACTTTGCAGATTTGGGGCAGAATTAATAAAGCATAAAAGTTACTAAATGTTCAATGCTAAGGCTATTTCATATTATCAAAATATCAAATATGTTGTATTTAAAAATCTCAAATCTCATCCTTTTAAACTTATGGCCACTGCAGAAGGTTTTGAAGTTATAGATGTTCATTATGTCTCGAACAGGCATTATTCTTATGGCTCAAAGTTCAAAAGGAACACGAGGTAAAGCACTTCTCCCTCTTTCCCCTTCAGCATGTTCCTCCCGGGAGGCCCTGGACCCTGTGTGAGCCTCCACAGGGACCGGCTACACAGAGCAGGACCCTGGGCCCCAAGGTGTGGCTCAGCTGGCTGAGCACTGCCCCAGGCACTGAAAGGCCACCGGTTCGATGACCGGGGTCAGGGCACATGCTCAGGACGGTAGGCACCCCCTCAGTGACATCAATGTTTCTCTCTCTCCCCCTCTCCCTGCCTCTCTCTAAAAATCAATTAAGACATTTAAAAAGACATCTATATATGTCTCATTCATTGATAATAAAATACACTTTCATTATCAGAAACGTAAAAGAAAGTGTGTGTGTATATAGTGTCCACAGGAGTTAGACATCAAACACTGAGGCAGAAAGGACACTTAGAACTTAAAACCAACACCTTGGGTAATTTCTGAGGAACCGAATACAAGATTCCAGAACGCCATCTACCAGGCCCCACTGAGCACATGCTGCCTGCCACCAACCACGGTCACGGCCACGGCCATGCCAACGCCACTGGAAACTAGGCTCAGAGCCATGACGAGGACCCAGAAAATGGCCTCAGCCTCCTATCCTTTTGTCTCAGACCACCTTCTGCGGAGCTGGCGCTCCCGGGCGTTTTCCGGAGCAGCGAGTCCTCACCACATGTGGCCAGGCTCTGCGACCGTGAGCAAAACTGGGTCAGAGAGAGGCCAGCTCTACCCGCCACAGGCCCTGGCATGCAGAGGCCGTGCCCCGGCACCCGAGGGCGCGAACACGGACCTACTGTCACTGTCGAAGAGCCTTCACGGCCCCGGAGCCCCGGGAGGGAGTTGACGTCGCTCTGGGGCCGTGTGCTCTCGGTCCTGAGACAAGGCCAGCTCACCGCCGAGCTGGAGTGAAGCAAGGCACAGTGCTCTCCCCGGAGGCGGAGAGCACCGTGGCCACCGGAGGCTCGGACAGCGCTCCAGGGCCGCAGCACCCTCCGTTTTCTGAACAAAAAGCTTCGGCCACGTGGAGCGTTAACTAGCGTAAGAGCATGCTACTCTCTTGGTATGTCCTGCTTCAGCTTTCACACACGTGACCCATGGTCGAGTACGCTAGCTGCTGGCAGTGTTTACAATCTTAAGAGTCACATTCTCTTCAGTGTTTTTTTCACTACATAGAAGCATAAACTTAACTTCTGCCAATTAGGTGGACACACTCAGACATCTGTAAACATTAGTGCAAACACAACCATAACTCTGCTGCAGGGACACTGCCAGTACGGACCAGTTCTGGACTTCAGTCCCTCCCAAGCTTTAACAGCAGACTTAAAACTTGACACATTTCTTTGGTCTTGATGGTCTTTCCCAGCTTTAGGATAAAATGAAATATAAGCCCACATAACAAAAACGTTACTTACTAAACAAGTTTTATTCTAGTAATTTTGCTGAAAAGATGTAACAAAAACCAAGTAAAACAGCACCCAAATAAAAACACACAATCCAACTCACGTGGCGGCTCCACGTCAGAGTAACTGAGATGGACATGCCGGCTGTCCTGCAGATGCCACCCCTGGGGCACACGCGCGTCCCTGTACTGCTCTCATCCATTCCAGCGCCGGGCAAGGGCACTGCTATACGCGGGGCAGAGTTGGATGGGGTTGCCTTGGTGACGAGGCCTGCTGCCACACCCGCCACCTAAACCCCAACAGGACGACTGCCTCAGCTCCCTGGGACCCAGGCTCCCCAGGAGCCCGGGCGGCAGCAGCAGCAGCAGGAGTATTCTTACGAGACATTAACCCACGCCAGGGTGGGCTGCTCCGACGTCTCTCTCCAGGAGCGAAAGCCCAAACGAATCCACGGGCTGTGAAAGCAGTACGGGAGCCCGCTCCTGCCTCCCGCCCTGATGTACTCACCCCCCACAGTCACCTGTGCATTAACAGACACAGACACCGTAAAAGCCAACAAGCCCCTGGAAGGTCCCTGAAGCACCACTCAGGCTCACGCTGAGAAACTCGATCTGAGCCACAGGTTAAACCACACGGCAAACCTGACACCGCTGTCCTGGACGGCCTCAGACGTAACACACTGGCTGAAGTCGTTCCTAAGGGGCGAGGCCCCCCTGCCCGAGGCACGCCTGCTCAGGACGGCGGACTCACCTGCGGCTGCGCGGGGGGTTCGGAGGGCAGGCTGTGGGAGGACCTGCTCCGCGGCGGGGGCTGGGGCGGCGTCTCCAGGCCGGGCGGGGGGGCGGCCTGAGGCAGCGGGGCTGCTGTTGGGACCAGGGGCTCCTGCATCTTGGGAGCCGGCGGGGTGGCCTGCGGTTTCAGGGGCTCAGGAAGAAGAGGTGAACCTAGAAAGTCAAGTTCCGAGTCAGTGCTTCCTGGGAGCCGTGCTGAGCCTCTTTACCCGAGGCTCGGGGCTCTGGTAGGTCTGGGGCCGGGCCTACCTCTGGGGACCTCGGAGGCTCCGCCCTGGCTCTCGGCAGCCAGCCTCCCGGCAGACGCGGCGGACGCCCGGGCCAGGCTCTGCGGGGCGCTGATGACCCCGGCGCGGGGCGGGATGATCTGCAGGGGAAGGAAGCACATGCCTCAGCTCAGACACTCGCTGCTCTCAGCAGGTGTGACTGGACCACCGCCTCTGCACGCCTCTCCTTCCTCTCCTCCCCTCCTTCCTGCACCCGTCTGGGCGGGCTGGCGAGTTACAGCCACCTCGTTTACAGTCTGCATTTGTGCTTCCCGTTAACGACGGGCCGGCGCTGTGTGGATGGAGCTCATGGAGGCACTTCATCTGCAAAGTGCCCCTCGGGGGTAGACATGCTTCTCGTCTCTATTTTGAGTGGAGAGCAGGCATGGCTGCGCTTCTCAAGACCGCAAGCCGCAGCCAGAGAAGAAAGCTGGGCCAGCCACAGGGAACAGCGCAGGGCGGCCCCTCCCACAGGCCAGGCCCAGGCGGGGCAGGCGCAGACCGCTGAGGAAGGGGCTTCTCAAACCCGTTCCAGCTCAGAAGGAAGAGCTCCCGGGACCACTGGAGCTGGCCAGGTAGGTCTACGGCAGGCACTGGTGAGAAACAGCTCTCTTACATCCTCACCGAGAATATTACACTGATCTGAGGTGGGCGGGAGGAGTGTGGCAGAGTCAGTGCAGAGCCATCTGCCATCGTTCTGCGCACAGGAGAGCGGGCAGGGAGTCCCACAGAATGAGAGCGATGTTAGGTGGATGGTAAACAGCGCTACAGGATAAAAGACGGCCTTCTCCAGCTTAGCGGTTTTATGAGGAGTCTGATTAGAAATGAGATGTGGCTTGTTAACTTCTAGTTATTGTAACAGGTCCTGGTTCCCGCTCTCCGCCGAGGGCTCCTGCAGGCCGGGCCACTGACCAGCCCATGCCACTGACCACTGTCCACTCCCTTCCTTCTCCTTTGCATGCCTCCCACCCAGGAGCATTTTCTCGGGTGAATGATGGACAACTGCGCGAACAAGGGAAGGCTGATGCGCGCACGGGGACAGCCCTGCCCGCTCTGCCACCGTGAGAGCCAGCTCCAACACGACTCCTTCCCCTGAAGTCTTAGTGCATGAGGGACGGTAACACCTCTCACTGAAGGGCCACACCCTCATTAGCCTCAGGGAGGAGGAGGAGAGCGGCCTGGCACACTCCCTCAGAGCAGAGGTCTTGACAGTGACCCTCGTGGCTGGAAGCAAACTGGGACCTGGAACCCAGACCGCCCGCCCTGGCAGGTGCTGCCTACCGGTCTGGCAGCGCCGTGTCCAGCGGGTGCTGGCCCCATGAGTCCTGCTGGAGGGGAAGGCTGGCTGCGGCCTGGCACAGGCATCCCACGCGCATCTGAGGTTAAAGCAGAAACAAGAAAGCGTCACGGACACCTGTCTCGTCACAGCTCCGCTGAGGAGAGGGCTCAGCCAGGTGCCTTTCCCTAGGCTCTCTCTCCGCGCCGTCCTGGGGCTGTGGGGGGCTTGCAGCGGGAGAGAAAGACCAGGGGTAAGTGAGCAGCGCAGCACATGGCCGGGCCGGTGACAGCACGTGGCTTTGGCTAACGGTGAAGGTCATCAGTCCTGAATGCCCCCGAGGGCTCCTGAGCACACAGACCGCATGCTCGGCGTCCTGCTGGTAGCGGGCTGGGAGGAGCCTGTGGGGTGTCCGTAACAGCCCATGGCCTCCTCACTAGCACCTGCCGCGGGAGGCAGAGCTCAGGCTGACTCTTTTGAAAGGAAATGTTAAATGAGACACATCAGGCCCCAGTGACTGTCATCAGAACCAATGGCTTCTACTCTTAAAAGCGCTGTGCGATACCTCCACGCCCTGAGTGGACATGAAACATGCTAACAGCACGGCAGGCCCAGGAGCCGCAAGGAAAGGAAGGCGCCCTGGACCCGGGCACACGGAACACGAGGAAAGCAGGCGGCGAGGTGCAGAGGGGGCGCTCCTGGCTGGCTGGTCTGCCTACTGCCCACAAGGGAGGGGCTGACTGAGAGTGTTCGGCCCACACGCAGGCCAGCCGCCCTGGGACCGGGAGGGCCCACAGCTCCTTAGAGAAAGAGCAGGAGCCGGAGCTGTTTGGGCCACAGCAGAGCGGACGGGCACAGCGTCTGCGTCCAACTGACGTCTGCAAAAAGGCTCTTTGTCTACGGTGAGCGCCTTCTATCGTCAGGACAAACCAAGTGACCAGACGCCTGCCTCCGCCCTCCCCCCCGGAAGAGCAGAGGGAATAGGCCTTCTGTCTGCAAGGCTGCTGTAGGGGAACGTGTGCGGGGACAGCCTCTGCCACTGCTCATCTCGCCCCCGGTCACCAGGAAGAGCTTCAGAACTCAACAGCCAAACAAAACACTCAAGTTTGAATTTTTTAAAATTTCTGAGACTATAGCCGAAACCGGTTTGGCTCAGTGGTAGAGCATCGGTCTGCGGACTGAAGGGTCCCAGGTTCGATTCCGGTCAGGGGCATGTACATTGGTTGCGGGCACATCCCCAGTGGGGGGTGTGCGGGAGGCAGCTGGTCGATGTTTCTCTCTCATCGACATTTCTGGCTCTCTATCCCTCTCTCCTCTTCTCTGTAAAAAATCAATAAAATATATTAAAAAAAAAAAAAAATTTCTGAGACTACATGAGTCTCTCAGAACTTCATTTTGCTCCCTTATTTCTAAAAAACTCTAAGAGTCCTATAGTGACTTTCTCTAACTTTCCTGCCTTAAAAGAGTTACTGGTTTATAGGGACAAAATGCACAAATACTGCCTACCAAAGAAAGATGGAGAGGCAACTTAAAAAAACTAAATCGGATTTCTAAGTTGGTAATATGATATACCATTTCACAGATTCATTAAAAATTCGCTTCCTACTGGTTGTTTTCCTCATAGCAGGAGAATAAAAGCAGGATTATCAAGGAAATAAAACTAAAAGCAGGAGTTTGAAACAGGAAAAACTAACATTTCTCTGGGTCCATGGGAAATGACCACCTGGCAGTATTCTGCAGCTGTAATGCTGAAATAATTTAGCAATCAAATATATACCTTCCACTGAGCTCTGGATTTTTCACATACACCAAATATGCTATATTTAAACCCAAAGTGACTCATTTGCTAATAAAAACTGTCCTGATGTTTAGAAAACGGAGGCATGAGATCCACGACAAGTTAAGACAAGGCCAGGCAGACGGGAGGCTGAATCCTGCCGGAAACGGAGCTGGGCTGCCCTGCCGTCACGGCGTGTGCTGCTGCACTGACCGCCCGCAGTCCCTGGGCTGACCCCCAGGCCAGCACGGCGCTGGGGAGGGAGCCTCTGACAGAGGCAGGTGCCCGCGGCCCGGTGAGTAACCGCTCCGCCGGGCAATGGCAGCCTGTGCAGGCTCCGTTACTGTAACACTGAGCTCTGGGCCTCACTGAGCAGGAACGAGTGGGAGTTTGGAGCCATTAAAAAAACAAATGCCATCTACTCTGACTTTCATCAAACAAACCTAATGCCTTTCAGTTTCAGGGGTCAAACTCCAAACGCCATGGCCACATGTGCATGTGATAACAAATGTGACGGTTACCTCCAAGCTCCTTCCTGGCAGGCGCAGGACTCCTGGCCCCTGGGCCACCCGGACATGCAGCGGAGAGGAAAGAGAGCAAAGCATGAGACACCCGATCCGCCAGCCCTGACCCAGCACCACACAGGAGCCATGGATCAGCAGCTCGGTATGACAAGAGCTGGTGTTTAATGCAAGCACTTCTGGTAACGCCCGCAACGACACCTGCTTATTTAAAAGCCCAGTGAGCCTCCCGGCCTGTGCATTAAAGCAGTGGATGCCAACTGGTGATCCGCAGACCACTGTGGTCTGTGAGGGCCGAAAGGTTGGTGACTGCCGGACTAAAGGGTCCCAGGTTCAATTCCAATCAAGGGCACATGCCCGGGTTGCAGGCTCAATCCCAAGTGGAGGGGCATGCAGGAGGCAGCCGATCCATTATTCTCTCTCATCACTGATGTTTCTATCTCTCCCTCTCTCTCCAAAATCAATGAAAAAAATTTTTTTTAATAAGTAAAAAGAAAATATTTACACAAACACGTAAAGCTCCACAGTACATGTATGTTCTCTGGGTCTGACTATACAGAAGTCAGCACCCTGCATCCATCAGCAGCAGCGACGCGAAGAGGTGGCTATGGAAGCCTAGTGGGCAGCCCACCCACGACCGTGCCTGCCACATTCTGCAGAGAACAGCGAGGAAGCAGCAAACAGGACAGGAAGACAGAAACATCTAGAAGCCGAGGCCTGATGCGTGCAAAAATTTTGGGTTGTGTCAGGGCTTTCTGTCCAGCAGGGGACACGGCGGTCTGTTACCTGAAGGCGGAGGTGGTCGCTGCGGGGGCGCTGGCCGCACAGGAGGGACCCCCGGGCGGGGAGGCGGCGGCCGCTTGGGCTCCAGGGCCTGCGGAGCGTCCTTCTCGGGCTGTGCAGCTGGCGGGGTGTCCACGGGAGAGCCTGGAGCAGCACCTGGGAGAGGAGAGCGGGTGCAGGGGGTGTGAGCACGAGGGCTGTGCTGCCTGCATCTGTGCTGCAGTAAGACGACATGCATGTTAGTGTCAGTAACACATGCAGCCGTGCCCGTCACAGCGCTCCGGTGCCGTGGAGCAGCGATGCCGGCCCTGACAGCACTGCTGTGTGGCTGCGGCAGCCGCTGGCCGCAGAGAGGGTACAGGAGGCTGCTTTGCTCTCTGCCTTCACTTGAACTTACTTAGCGGGTGCAATGGGCAAACCAGAGATGCTAACGGGCTGGGAGATGATGCCAGCGTGGCCAGCCATTACTCATGAGACAGAAACAGCTTCCAAAGATGGACTTCCCAACCCTGGAGGACTGACTACAGTTTCAACGTGAACGTTTGCTTCGTCGCTTCCCGTTTCATATAACAGAGGCCACGGGCGGCTGCAACGCTAAGCAACCAGCAGGGCTCCTCCTGCCACGGGGACAGGCGTCACTTAAAGGACGGGACCAGGCAGGCCCAGGACAGGGGTGAGGACGAAGTCTGGTATTGTTCCCAGGGAGGGCGCTCCTGCGAAGCGAGCCTCCGCCCATCTGCACCGGATACAGCCCCGCAGTCTCCTGCTGGGCCACCTGAACCCGAACTCAGCGCAGGGAAGGCCCCCAGACCCCAGAACACGATACGCACTCTGTAAGGGCACTCGGTAATCCGGAGTCCTGGATGCGGTCCGGCTCGGCCTGACGGGCAGGGAGGGCAGCGGGACGTCCGCTATGGTGGGCGACTGGCAGGGGCTGGTCCGCGGGGAGGAGCTGGGGGACGCGCAGAGGCCGGAGCCAGGGGACGGCTGCAGGTGCTGGGGAAGCGCCTCCTCCACCTCGGCGTTGTCCTCATCCACGTCCCCTGGGGAGACGGGGGAGGTCACCCTTGCCTCACGGTCTCAGACGTGCGTGCCCACCTGGCTTCAGGGTCAGGTTCACAAAGAAACGCTGCTCGCTGACACGGAGCCTGCCCGGTTACGCACGTGGGCATGCAGAGCCGTGTGGGTACGGAACTAGAATCAGCACCGACACGCAGACAGGAACGCATCTCAGGGTAGCAGGCCTGGGAACAGGCTGGCCAGGGCTGGCCCAGGCCTCCACATTGCACTGGGCAGAGGACCATCTACTGTGACCCTCCACCTCCCAGTGCCCCCACCCCACCCCCCGGCTTTCTTCCCTTTAACTGCACTGGTCCCCCGGCCTCCGTGTCTCCTCCCCTCAGGGCTGCAAAGGGGGGCAGGGTGTCCCTTGCAACCTCATTCAAGCTGCAGAGCACACGTCCTCAGGGGCTAAAGGCTGCTTCTCTGCAGCCCTGCCACCCGGAACTTACTGCCCACCCTCCGCCTCGCCGCTCCGCCACTCCAGCCCCGCCTTCCTCCACACCGAACGGCTCAGGGTGCGCTGACAGAGCAGCGCTGTACCTGACATCTTTCCGGGGAATCAAAGGCCACGGGGACAACCCTCCAGCAACCTACACACCCTGTGTAGGTTGTCCTTCCGCACTAGTCACTCCCTCCACTCCAACCGCCCCCAGCCCTGCATGCCCTCTGAGACAAAAGACCCCAGACCCCTCCGACCGCCACCTCCCACTTCTCAGTCTCCCCATTTCTCTCCTTTTTAATCCTCACCCAAGGATATTTTCCCACTGGTTTCTAGAGAGAATGGAAAGGAGGGAGCGAGGTGAAGGAAGATAGAGAGCAAGAGAACGAGAAAGAGTGAGAGTGAGCAAGAGAGAGTGCGAGAGAGAGAGAGAAGCATCAATGTGAGAGAGACACATCAATTGGTTGCCTCCTGCACACGCCCTAGTGGGTCTGGGCCGGGGATGAAGCCTGCAACTGAGGTACATGCCCTTGACCAGAACTGAACCAACCGTGCAGCCAAACCGGCCAGGGCTGAGCCAAACGTCTTTAAGGAGCATCTGCAGACCCTGCACGGCCCTCAGCCCACACCTCCGCTCCCAGCACCTGCCCCCGTGGCTCTCAGGAAGGCCCAGCCCCTCCGCTGTCTGCTTCAGGGACAAGCTGCCGCCTTCCCGCCTCCGCTCTGCGACAAGGACACCCGGCCACTGCCTCTTGTTGTCATTTCGTCCCGCGCTTTCTCAGCCACCACTTCCTCTCGGCTCTGCCGTTTCTGGAGGTTTCCTTGCACTTTCCTTCCCGGGGTCTGTTCCTCGCACGGCCTCCAGGGCCAGCTCTCCGTGTCCCTGCGGTCCCGTGGCCTAAAGCACGAGCCCGTCCACCAACAAACCTTCCAGGTCGAAGTCCGCCGCCACCTCCACGTCCTCGCCCAGCAGTGTGGAGCTGGTGGACGAAGGCAAGGGCACGTTAATCTTCTCTAAGCTGATTTCTTCCTCCAGATTCTTGATCCAGTCGGGGCTTTTCAAAGTGATGGTCACAGCCCGGCCCAGGAACTAGGTGAGGGGAGACAGAAGACGGCAGTTCACGGCAGGGCAATGAGCGCTCTGGGAACACAGGCTCACGCCTGCTCCACACACGCTGACCCGAACCAGGCCCCACGCCCGCTCTCCTGTGAGGAGCTTGTGCTGCTCCGGCTCAGGCCTCTCCCTGGGACAGAGCCGTGCCCTCTGCGTGGCCAGCGCCTCCCCCGGGTGCAGGCTCGCCCACAACTGGCTCAGAGCTTGGTGCTTCTCTGGCTTTGGTCCGCATGGCCACTCTCTGCCGGGGGAAACAGCCACAGAAGAGACAGTACAAACCGCCACCTGCTCCAACGAGGTATCTGAGTTCCAGAAGGAAAGCGAACCATTACCCAACGCGCTCCACAGACAATTTTACAAAACTCTGAAGCCTTGTAAGGGACCCGAGTTGGATGCTTTCTAAGAGTATGACATAGATGACGAGACCTGAGGGTGAGGGACAGAGCTAAAAGGGGGGGGGGGGGGCCGCGAGGGGAGAGACAAGCAAAATTAAATAGTCAGGGAAAGGCAAAAGGAAACTCAGTAAGGGAATAAAAGAAATGCCAACACAGAAGCCGCCCTTACACATCACGTGGGATGAGAAAGGGTTTTCAGGCGACAGAGCTGGAATGACATTTAAAAGTCAGAAGTTTCCAGATGGTGAGGACACGGCAGTCACGATGCACACAGCGGGGGCTGTGACAGTGACGCCCGGGGTCAGGCTCAGACAGCACAGCGCACAGCGAGGACAGCGCCGCCACCAGCAGGGATGACGTGCTCCTCCTGGGCTTTCCGATGGCGAAGCCAAAGGCCTCCTGGGGCTTCCTGCTCACTGGTGCACGAGTGTGTCACCATTACATCCGGGAAACAGACAAGACACCCAGGGCCTACTGCAACAGCAATGGATGTGCGTGTGCGTGTGTGTGTGTGCATGTGTGTACATGTTCTCTCCAAGGAAGTGGAAGTGATAGAACCGGAGGAAGCTGGGGTCCATCCTACCTATGAGCATACATTCAGACATGCAAAAGCACTAGAGACATGGAGAAAGCGCTCCATAGAAGGAAACTCTCCAGGCCACTGACAACCCCACCTGACATGTCAGATCACGGGGAGCAACATCTCCACTGATTAAGATTTCTAAAGCGGTTCCATGGGATGGTAATCACCCAGAGGGATTATTGTTTTTAATTTTTAATTACACTTGACATTCAATAGGATTTAGTCTCAGGTGTAGCAGACAGAGGTTTGGTACTTATATACCTTGTGAAGTGATCGTTAAGTCAGTACCCACCTGACACCACACACTGTTATCATACTAGTGCCGTGTTCTCGGTGGGAATGACTGGCCCTGTGCTGTGTTCTCTGTGGGAGATACTGTCCTTGGGCTTGAAGAGGGGGCCTGTACCACTGTCTAAGGCAACCCCGCCAGTTTCTAGGAATCATGAGAATCTTCTTCCTTGTTTTCTTGTCAATAAAGCATTTTATTCATTTGACAGAAATCTTTCCTACTATATAGATGAGCCAGAATATCTAATTCAAAATTTTTTAAGAATTTAAAACATTTTACATAAAAACCAAATTAGATGGTAAACATGGTTTCTTCTTAATCTATATCAATGGTTAATATCCCTAGGGACAGACCAAAATAATCCTGAACTAGTCAGACACCTAGACTTAAGTAATAAATATTAAAGTTCTCCTTAAGGTCTTTCCTCCTTCGGAAATGGAAATACATTTAGATAATCTTGCTGCGTTTGTATGAAAACATAACCCTCGGTCGCTTAATTCCAGAACCTAGCGCCAGCGAAAGCTACTTACCTCTTTACCACTGAGGCCCAGCACACTCAAGGCCGAACTTCCCTCCAGAAACGTCACCCACATTTTATCTTCTACAAACCTTCGAGAGAGAGAACAGCCAACAATAAAAACCATGATCACTACCGCAGACCCAACCAGCCCAGGGCTCCTCTGGTGATGAAGGAACACGGGCCTGTGGAGGCTGGAAGTACAAGCTGGAGAGTGCAGCAGGCGGTGGCCTGGAGGGGGCCCTCTTCCCTAGAGATTCCAAGTCAAATGGCTTTGGCTTTCAAACACAGGCGAACAGGCGGCCAGAGCAGTGGCCTATGGTGATGGCCATCTGTGACCCCCACTCACCCGCTCCGCCACCTCACCAGCCAGGGAAAGGGGTGACCTTACAAGGCAAGCACGTTACAGGACAGCGTCTGAGGCTCCTGACCCCACAGACCAGCGAGAGGCACGTGGACCACCCCTGAGCAATGCCCCTGGCCAGGAAAGAAGATGGGGTGTTCACTGAACCGACCTCGGACCTCCCCAAGAGCCTAAGGTCCCGGTCTTGTCTGTTCATTTACTGTCGGGGGACTTGGACGGCTTTGGCTGGCCTTGGCTATGATTGTTTCCAATTTTGAAACAAAACCCCACAAGTAAAAAATGAAGGACATCAGGACAAGCCCTGACGATGGCCGCTGACATGTATTAACGTCGTCACACAAAAAGGAGCAAAGCAAACCATAGCACCACCAGCTTTCCTGAAGAAACAGTTTGATGAATTGAAATACTCCCAACGGTATAAGTTCAGAAATCCTTGGAGATTTTTCAAAGATGAGAAAATACATACATGTATTGAGGTACATACACACACACACACACACACACACACACACTCTCTCTCTCTCTCTCTCCCTCCCTTAACAAGGATCCAAAAGCATGCATACGGACATTAAGAGGAAAGGCTAAAATAAAAGCAAACGTGTACACAGTTCCTTTGCCAGCTTACAGCAAAGGCCGACACAGATTCCAGTCACTCCACGTGACCAGCCTCTCTGGCCCAGCGGCATGAAGCTGTGGGACCCTGTCCTTTCAAAGATGGAGAGAAGCCATCCTACAAAGTCCCAGGAAGACCTTCCCTGCTGGCGGGGAGTGGGGGGAGGGCGCCCTCCTTCCTGTGGCTGCACTCAGACGCCACTCCCGCCCGCCCTAACGACTGTCTCTGACGGCGGTTCCAGGCATCCAATCCTGACCTCCTGGTTCCTAGGCCAACGCTCAGCCACTGAGCCACGCCAGCCAGGCTGAATAACGTTTCTACAGCATGGTTCCCACAGTTTGGAAATAACAACATTCAATACTATTCAAACCCTAGGCAAGGCCATTTCCAATACAGAAAACGCGATTTAGGAATCATGAGCTGCTTTCAAACAATAAATAGTTCTCTCACCTTATGAGAATTACTTCACCAAAATTCGCAAACTGCTGCAGAAGCTCGTCGATCAGAGCGTCATCGAAGCAGCTGCTCTCTGGCCCCGAGCTCCGGACGGAGACCAGCACCGTGGCGTCGGGCGGGCCCTGCTCGGCCAGGACCTCCCTGTAGATGCTCTGCCTCTCCTCGGCCTGCACCTCGAAGATGTCGACGTCGATGAGGGCGACCACGGGCCTGAGCGTGAGGAGACAGGTTAGGAGCCTCAGGGAGGACGGCGTCACCCGCCGTGGCCAGCCCCGTGGATGCGCGGCGCACCTGTGGTCGGAGGTCTTCAGCTCGGCCCGCCCGTAGTGCAGCAGCGTGCCCGGGGTCCACGTGTAGAGGATTTGGCTTCCGTCCTGGAAGCTGGCGTTGATCAGATCCAGGTCCTCGGCTGCAGGAGACAAGGGAGAGGGCGTGAGGACGTGACGCACCCAGCCCCTCCGCTCTCGCCAACAGGCCGCAGGTCTGCACCTTCCAGTCAGAAAGGCTGTAGTGAAGTCACAGCCTGGTGTTTACGTAACAGGCAGTGAGAGGCGGCTTTCCCCGAGGTCACTGCGGGGCCTGTGCCCGGCCAGGGCGAGCAAACAACTCCACAGGGAAGCGGCGGCTCCGAACATGTCAGACACCTGCCTCCTGTCAGAGCCCAGCGGGCGGTCAACTACCATGTCACCAAGTGTTTTCTCGCTTCCCTTCAGTGAAATACTGTCACTGAGACAGACCCAAACCTTCCATGTCATTAAAGGTTAATCTGAGAATATTTTTTAAAATCTGTTTTATATCTGACTTTTACTTATTCTCTCCTAGATAACCTTTGCTGAAAAACAGTACAGGGCAATGGGGTCAAACAGGCGGTGACAGAAGGTATGACTGTGAGTGGTAAGCACCCAGGTGGTACACGGACCACGCACCATAGAGACGGACACTTGAAACCTACATGAGCTTATTAACCATTGTCGCCCCAATGGATGGAGTGAAAAACAAACAAGACAAAGAAAATGAGAAGAGCAAAAATCAATCAATCGTCTGTAAGAAGCCTCTCCTCTGACACTCACACCCCTTTCTCATCTCTCCCTTCCCCTTCCCCACCCTTCCCCCCAAAATCTGCACCAACTCAGGGACATGAGGAGCCACTTCCGACCTGATCGATCAAAAGGCCACTTCCTCCTCCTCCAGAGGACGCGGTCAGTCCAAGCAGGGGTGCGGCACTTTTCACTGGTGTCATAGTCTTCAGAAAACAAATCATATTTATATGTCGGAGCAAAGGTTACTTTTCCTTCTAAAAATCCTCTAAAAATCTACAATAAACATACACAAAGTAAGTTACTTATGTACAAAGGAAGCTCTCACAAAGCACAACATTTTCACTAAACAGCTGTTCACTAGTCTAAGTGCTGGGGCCTCGCCACGCCTGTGGGCATCGGGTAAGCAGTCCGATGGGCGGACAGAGCGCGGGGAGGAGCCTGACCTGGGCCTCCCGGCTGACCTGACCTCGCACTAAGAACCTCGGCACTGTCGGACTTTGGAAGCCATGTGGTCTGATGTCTGATTCTCAGAGGAGGATCTGGGGCCCTAGACAGGCAAGTGGTCTGAATGTAGGTCTGACCCCCATCAATGGCAGTCACCAACCTCTCAGACCTCACGGACCCCGATGGTCCGCACACCACTGCCCATGAAGGCACCAGAGCAGATGGCCACAACTGCCTCCCCCCTGAAAACACTTTACCCTCATTCTCCCAAATGCTGTGGTCACACGTTTTAGGAAATAAGTTTCAAAAGGGCAGATGAGCCCAGCTGATGTGGCTCAATGGTTGAGCGTCGACCTATGAACCAGGAGGAGTCATGCCCAAGTTGGGGGCTTGATCCCCTGTGTGGGACATGCAGGAGGCAAACAATTCATGACTCTCTCATCATTGATGTTCCTATTGCTCTCTCCCTCTCCCTTCCTCTCTGAAATCAATAAAAGATATATTTTTAAAAAGGGAGTTGATATGTATATTATTCTTCTTAAAAGTTAACCTAAAAATCAATCAATCAATTAATTCCGGTGAATTAATGTGGGGTTTCCTTTCTTTTTCTTTTTTTAAAGGGAAGGCAAGTCTGTACCCGTTAGACTACATACATATTTATTAAGTGTAAAAAGAACCCACGAGATTGACAAGGCAGCACGTGGGTTAAGGCAGTGGTCAGCAAACTGCGGTTCATGAGCCACAGGCAGCTCTTTGGCCCTTGAGTGTGGCTCTTCCACAAAACACCACGGCCTGGGCGAGTCTACTTTGAACAAGCGGCGTTAGAAGAAGTTTAAGTTTTAAAAATGTGGCTCTCCGAAGAAATTTCAATCGCTGTCCCGTTGGCATTTGGCCCTGTGGACGGATGAGTTTGCCGACCACTGGCTTAGAGCCGCTGCGTGGCCAAGGCCCTTCCTCGCGGTCCCGTGCCTCACCTGCCCGGCGTTCTTCTGGCTGATCAGCTGGTCCCCGGCGAGGAGGGCGTCCCAGTTCTGCTGCCTGATGAGCTCCTTCACCTCCTCATTCGGGAGGTCGATGCGGTAGTTGAAGTCGCCGCACCAGAACACGTAGTCATGGGAGAAGAGCATCCTTCCCTGGGGTGGGGAGAGGGGCCCGAGTCAGAGTCCACTCACCATGGTGATGGCGACTCTTGCCCCGCCCTCCAACACGCTCAGACATTTTCCGACAGTGAGAGCACGGGGAGTCTGCTAGGTGAGCGCTGTTGGCACGGGAGCACGGCCCCCCACCTGGGAGGACGGGCACTCACCATGGGGAAGCTCAGCTTGCGCACGATCTCCACATAGTCCTCGTTCCGCTCTTTGACCTGGGACTGCCCGGCCGCGAAGTGGCTGCACACGAAGCAGAGGCTGGTCGTGTGGAACAGCATGCGGATGGCCACCGCTCCCTTGTTGCCCGTGGCGCCGCCCATTCCCGTCTTCACCGTGTCCACGGCGACATCCCTGGGACACGAAGAATCCGAATCAAAGAGGCGCCCCGGACAGGTGCCCGTCCGCAGGAGTAATTAGGGGGGCGAGGGGTGACGGCACAGTGTGCACGTGCCCACGGGGGGTGCCTACCTCACACCCGGGGAGCAGGAGGGAGGACCCACCTGATGAAGGGCGCGTGCTGCGGGCGGATGAAGACGAACAGGCAGACGCCCACCAGCTGCTCAGAGGCCAGCAGCACGTACTTGTTGTCCCGGGAGATGGTCTTCTGCAGCTCCGCGGCCCACAGCTTCTGGTTCGTGGTGCTGCAGGGCGGGCAAAGCGGGACAAGCCGTCAATGACCCTAGACAGCTCCCATCTGTACTCCAACTTTTAAAACTGTTTTTATTGATTTTTAAAAATATATATATTTTATTGATTTTCCACAGAAAGGAAGGAAGAGGGATAGAGAGCTAGAAAGGTCGATGAGAGAGAAACATCGACCAGCTGCCTCTTGCACACCCCCTGCTGGGGATGTGCCCGCAACCAATGTACATGCCCTTGACCAGAATCGAACCTGGGACCTTTCAGTCCACAGACCGATGCTCTATCCACTGAGCCAAACCGGTTTCGGTGTTTTTATTGATTTTTAGAGAGAGAGATAGAAACATGGATGAGAGAAAGATCATCGACCAGCTGCCTCCTGCACACCCATACTGGGGATGGAGCCCTCAAGCCGGGCCAGCTATTTTAAGCCAGATATGAAAGAGATTTGTAAAAAATTCTTTCAGATTTTCAACGTTCTTCAGAGTGCAGAAAAGATCCTGATACCAAGGCTGAGAACTGCTCTCTTAGTTTAAAGGGACCTTCACATACGTCCTCTCAATCTCTATAAGCAAAGACTACTGACGGATCTGCCCCCCATGCCGCCCCCCCGAAGTAGGTGCTGCCTGCTGGCTTACCTCGCATTCACGATGTTCCCCGCATTCAGCTCCACCATCTCCTCAAACCCAATCGCAAATATGTCTGTCGGCTTACTTCTTCTCTCTGCAATGACGCATTCAAGAGCGACCATGAAAATGCAGCCTCAGCCAATGGCACCCTGCTGCCAGCTCCCCACACAACCGGGATCGACAGCAGATCTCACAAGATCCACGTTTGTGTTTTCAGTTTAACCGAAGTCAAACTGAAGACAAAACCCAGGCGTGGAGCAGCACTGCTTTAGATTTACTCTCTGCTCAGCACCCTGGGGTTGCTTCTCGCAGACTGTTGTTCTGGGAGGCCGGAAGTGCTCTCACAGACCATTTGGAGGAATTCTCGCTCCAGTTCACACCAGGGGCAGTAGAGAAGCAAGCCCCTCTGATGGGCTAACGTGAACCCACACAGGAGGGGGAGGGTCTTAGAAAGGCTCAGACACACGCGGCTGAGAAACGGGTAATGCGAAGTAACGGTTAGGAGATTTTTCACATTCAAATTCGAAAACCACAGGCTGGTCCTTTGTGCTGCTCAGAAAGTAAAACCCCAGGAATAAAGAGGATGGGGCTTTGGATGGATTTGAGCTATAAAATGTTGGGCTTCCAACTTCTGAGCCAGCGTCCTCTAAAGTCACGCATATTGCAAAGCGCTCCCTTGTCTTCAGGTGAAGACACCAGCCGGGACGCGTTAGTTACACCGCACAGTAAGGGCCCACCTTGAAACTCCGGGATGCCCGCCAGCTTGGGCGCGTCGAGCAGCCAGTCGGTGAGCGTCTGGTTCTTGAACGCTATGCTGCGGAACTGCTTCCCGCCGTTGACGTTCCAGGTGCCCACGCACACGCGGGTCTTCTTGGGCCTGGAATACTTGTAGAAATTCTCGCACATGCTCTTCAGGACTTTGGAAGAGGCTAATCAAAAACAAAACACAGGAGTTTTAACTGCATTAAAACGACGGTGGACGGGCTGTCACCACTGAGAAGTGGCGCCTGCACGCACAAGCATCACGTAAACAAGCACGAAGCACGTGGGCACATGCAGAGGAGGAGAGCAGCCCTGACAGAGCCCAGCCCGACGCAATCCACCAACACACTTAAAGGTCGGCCGCGTAGACACGGGAACCGCGGTGAGGAAAGCCACGGTGAAATTACTGCAGCACACAACATGCGGAGCGAACGGTTCTTCTCCATTAAATGCTACTTGTTCTCTAAGGCACGAAACTAGACACAGTCAACTTTTCAGAAGCACAGCAACTGACCTCCATATACTAGTAACTTTCATTCAAAGGTTGGAAAAATATAAACTTACTTTCTCCCCAGACAACATTTAAAAACATTACATGTAAGATTCCAGCTACTGACAGGGGGCTGCAGAATTCGGGCTCCCTGGATGACGAGGGGTCGTGGTGAAGTCACTGAGAAGAGCTGCCCATCTCGCTCGGAGTGAGTGAAACTTCCTTGCACCACGTGCCCTGCCTTGTGCCCTCGCCTGCTACCCATCCGTCCCCTCACTGCTCAGCCACTGCCCGTCCCGCTGTTTCAGGCCCGCTCTGCCACAGGGCCTTTGCACTGGCTGCCTCTGCTGCCACCGCACTCCACCCTCCCTTCCTTCGTCTCCACTTCGCACGGAGGCGCCTCATTACAGTCTGCACTCCGTCCCCCCGTGCTTTCTCTCTACTGCTTCTCACCAGTCACCAGCTACGCGCTTCACCTGTTGATCTGTAACTGTCTCTTCATAAGAATGAAAGCTCCGGGAGGGCAGGAATGTTGGTCTGGGGCACCACCTTAGTGACGAGAGGCCCTGGCCTGCTCAGTGAGTGACTGGTGAGTGAATGAGACCCCCGACCTCCTGCCCTATTCGCCTTCCTTCCACAGCGCACTTCCTGCCGGTTAAGTTAAATTCTCGGCACTTAAAGTGGACGGAGCCGAAAGAGGCCCTCCATCTAAAACAGACTATGCTCTGAACCGGCAGCACTGGGCAGAGGAGAAAACCAGACGGTTCTCGCCTTTCACCACGGGACACTGTTTCATTCTATTACTTATTTATGACACCAAGACACCGCAGTTGGTGACAGAGGAAGGACATAATGTGTTAGCACAGCTGATCCCAGAGGCCGATTCTCCGCCCTCTTACTGCTTGGTCTGACTGCTCGCGCACAGGCGTGAGGCGGAGAAAGCGGATGTGTGCTCTGGCCTGCTGCTCTGGGTGCTGGGAGCTGGCTGGCCCCAGAGAGACTGGTCTGTGTAACTGTCACTGCCATGGCTCCTACTTGGGAAACAGCGTCTGCATCCTTTCTGGACCTAAACACCGGGCCTGTCATGGCTGGCTGCTGAAAATCATCCGCAAGACAGTGAGTTGTGTGAACAAAAACATGTCGCCATGGTATGGACTTAAAAAAAGTCAGTCCAGAAATGGGATCAACGTTTTAAAAAACCCTAGCTTTTCCTTAACGAGTCTCTGCTCCAGCGATGTCCCCCCTCAGCACCATGCTGTCCCCGGCCAGTGCGCCTCAGGGCGGAGCCCAGAGCGCGCGGGCATGTGCTCCTCCTCCATCCTTCCAAAAAGCACACCGCAGTCTCTGAAGCACTCAGCACGGCCACGCCAAACAAGCCTTAAGTGACGCCGAATCCGAAGTGAAGGGAAAAGGTCTTTCCCACTAAAATTCTGGCCCGAGTTCGGCTTTGGTTCTCTTCACCACCCACTTGGGTTTATAGACAAGATCATGGACTCGGGCCAGAGAATGAAGGCATGAGACTGCCATGAACAGGAGAGGCGAGACAATAGCCACTGTCAGGCCCTACACGCTCAGCGCCTCCCACTTTGTGGCAACCTCGGTGCTTCCCTACAGACTCCAGATCAGGGCGGTTCGGGCTTATACAGGCAATGTGCCACCCAGTGAGAGATGAGCCGATGCCTTTTCAAACGCGATGAGTGAGAAGCGCTGCTGGGCATCACAAGTGTCATGGACGGAACTCGAGTCAACCCCAGCGGTCCCACCTGGGCTTCCCCCTCAGCGCCTGAGAGTGAGGCTGCCATGTTTGTTCAGTGACTCTCCAGTGACAGGAAACTAGGAGCTCTATCCACTTGGAATTTAACTGTTGCTACCGGATGGCAGAGAGCATCCTAGAAGAAGTTATTCTGCTTTCTCAAATCTATGTTTTTCCCTCAGGTTAAAATGAGGTGACCATTTGTGTGGCTAGAATCTGAGGGGAAAGAGCGAGTTGCCATGGAGGTGGCTTCAGCTGTTTACAAATCACCCTTAGAGAAATAAAGAAACAGTAGCTGTTATGTGTGGGGGTCTGTACTGTACCTGATTGCAATGTCTGCTCAGAAACTACGGATGCATGAGGAGGAAACAAAGCATCGTTAGTCAACAGCACGGCAAGGCCAGCCAGAGGCTGACTGTCCCTTCTCGGCGCCGCCCCTTCTCTCAAGCTCACGTGACGACCTGCTTTCTCGGGGGCTGCAGGGCAGACACCAACAGAGTGACAGCGAGCACGCAGTCCGCCCTGAGTGTCACCACTGAGGGAACCGTGCAGTGACTCTGCTGTCAGTGCTGGGCCCGCTTCTCAGGCTGCTCCTGTGTGTGTGTGTGTGTGTGTGTGTGTCTGTAAATGAATGTGTGTGTGTGTCTGTAAATGAATGTGTGTGTGTGTGTGTCTGTAAATGAATGTGTGTGTGTGTGTGTGTCTGTAAATGAATGTGTGTGTGTGTCTGTAAATGAATGTGTGTGTGTGTGTGTCTGTAAATGAATGTGTGTGTCTGTAAATGAGTGTGTGTCTGTAAATGAATATGTGTGTGTCTGTAAATGAATATGTGTGTCTATAAATTAGTATGTGTCTGTCTGATTGTATGTTTGTGTGTGTATGAGTGTGTATGTGTGTGCGTACACATGTGCACACACATGTGAATGAGATCATGCACCTGAAAACCTGAGAAGCTGGAGGATTCTGAGCATGGGAAGACACTGCCCTAACATACACCGTTTAGAATCATTTCTGGGACTCACCAATTGATAAGCTCAATCAGCTCAGTTATAACAAAACACAGGCATTCCAAAAAACCCACCATGCTGTGCAAAACTGCGTAATGTCCCAGTCACGGGCTTATGGGAAAATGGGGTTGGGGGAAACAACCGCTTTGGCGGTGACGCCACCAAAGACAGGAGCCCAATAGACAGCAGCACAGCTCTACACGTGTTCACTGGCCAGGGGCCTAACTCCTCCTCAGTTATGAGCCGACGTCGGCTTGCAGCAACAGCCGCGGGAGGCTGAGCCTGAGTCGCTGTGTGTAGGAGGCGGGGCCTCTGAAATGGGCGGAAGGCAGCACCAGTGATGGGAGTGGCTCTCAGCACAGCAGGGACCCGAGGCAGATAGGTGGGAGGTGTGTGCACAGGTGTATGTGTGAATTCTAAAAAGAAGTTTCTGATTTTTAGAGGGAGAGGGAAGGAGAGGGGGAGAGGGAGAGGGAGAGAGAGAGAGAGAGAGAGAGGGAGAGAGAGAGAGAAACATCGATGAGAGAGAATCATGGACGGTTGCCTCCTGCACAACCCCTGCTGGGGACTGAGCCTACAACCCAGGCACGTGCCCTGATGTGGAAATGAACCGGGCAACATCCCGTTAGGTCGATACTCAACCACTGAGCCACTGGGTTGGGCTGCATGTGTGTGTTTTAAATTCTACTCATCCTGCTTCTGCTGGGGGCGTTTTCTGTGTGTGCCTGGCACCATTGCCAGTGAAACTGTGCAGAAACTAAAGCAGAACTGGCATGCGCTCACGTGTTCCCGAAGATGCCAGCCATCTCAGGACCAGTGCTGCAGCAGAACGGGGCTTGTTTTTAAGGAAATGTGCAGGAAACTAAGCCGGTGATTAAGTCTAGGAAACTTGGGGTCCCTCACTTCTCCTTTTCTTTCCTTCGCTGCTTCCTTTCGGTGGTGCTCATGTCTGCACATCCGGGCGGCCCAGGGGAGCACGGGGGGAAGAGGTGGAAGGATGCAAAGCAGCTAAATCTCTGCTGCTGGAAGCAAGAAGGAAGCTTGACCTTAAAAGTGTAGGGATAGCAGGTTTTTAAAAAAATGTTGTGTTTTTTTTTTAAAATTGATTTTAGAGAGAGAGGAAGGGAAAAGGAAGAGAGGGGTGAGGGAGGCATCAGACTCATTGGCTGCCTCTTGCACCTACTGGGTATCGAGACCGAAACCCATGCATGTGCCCTGACCAGTAATCAAACCAGCAACTTTTTCGTGCACATGACACTCCGCCACTGAGCCACACCGCAAGGGCCAGACAGTGTGCCAGAGCTCCAGGAGCGGGCTGTACTGAGCGCCGCCACCATGCCAGAGCCTGCCGAGCCCACAGAACCCACCTGCCAGTCATTCCCAGGAGGAAGGCCCCCGGGAGCAGGGAAAACGGAAGGTTTGGTTTGGAGATAACAGAGGAAATAAAAATGCTGAGTGCTAAAAAGTTAAAATAGAAAAAAACGTAGAGTGAGGAAGTCTAATTTACTAAGTTTTACAATGAATGCCGAGTTTTCCCATGATACCATTTAATATACGTTGCTGATAGGAGCTCCAGTTCTTGTGGTTTAAATTAAAGGCACAATAGCCATATATTTATGTCAAATGTTAAAACTGGAAATAGTGGTGTCCAATAATAAGCAATATTTTAAATCATTAGTCAGCATTACTTAGTATCACTTCAAGCAACAGCAATGAAAGGTAAGACTGAGTGATAGAAACTTTTAGGTGGTGACTAGCAGAATACCCACTCGAGGATTCAGGCACTGATTTCCCAGTAAAGCATTTGTCTGCTACATAGCGAGGCTACTGAAGGCTCTACTAGCTGAATGCCTTTTGTAGTTGGTGTACTTCAGCCATTAACCCCCATCATAGCCTATCAGAGAAAACACGCCTGGGCCTCAGTTTATGGCTTAATAACACCTCTGATCCCCGGCCGGTGTAACTCAGTGGCTGAGGTCACAGTTCAGTTCCTCAGGGCTCAGGCCTGAGTTGAGGGCTCAATCCCCAGTGTGGGGCGTGCAAGACTCAGCCGATGGAGGATTCTCACTCAGTGTTCATGTTTCTAACTCTCTCCCTCTCCCTCCCTCTCTAAAAATCAACAAAAACACATTAAAAGTCTATTTAAAAAATCAAGTTGATAGAAAATCCTTCCAAACTTAAACAACTCAACCTAAAAGTTATTTATGTAAATAAGTTTACCTTTATCTCTGGGCTTTTAGAAGGAGTGTGAGTGACACCAAGCAGGTAGAATATAAAGTAAGTACGCCTACCACGCAAACTTCCAGTGGTTAAAAGTGCTCGCGCTTTGTCAGCTAAGTCACTATTTAGAGTGTTTCCCAGGAGCAAAACGTCAATGGCCTCTTGCTTGGAGCTGTCAAAGAAGTTATTCTGAATCGTTCTAGTGACAGAGCGAGCACCATCTTTTAACTTCCCAGCCTGTTGGGGAAAAAGGAGCAAGGACTTTCATTCTGATCGTGTCATTGTCACGCAGTTGGTATTCTGAAACTTAAGGCGACATAACTGTATGCAATAAAGGACCTCATCCTTCTATTCTGGATAGCGAATCAGCACGTTAAACGGCTCAGGAGGCCACTGCTTCTCTTCCTCTGTGGACCACAGCTCTGCCCAGAGAAGGAGGCTCAGTGCCACCGCACCCTTCGCTGGGCGCTGGGCGCCTAGCACTGTGGACGGGAAGAGTGGACCGTGTGCACCCGGACAGGAATCACTCCCACGTCATCACTGCAGACTCGGGGCGGGGCGGGGAGCAGCAGGGAGAGGGGGGATACATTGCACTCACAGGCTCTTATGAAAGCTGCAGAGGGCTTCAATAGTAGAAAAAAACCCGGAAACTATTCCCTAGTAACTTCATTAGTCACAGCTATAACTGAACAGAAGAATGAAGGCCTAGTCTAAAAAGAAATGTATAAATATAGTTCACATGTAAACCACCATCTACATTTTAGGCCACTGAATTACCTGTGTATCTGTAACTAACAAAAATAATAAACCTGGACTAATTCCTAAAGGGAATAATATAACGTTCAATGAGCATATACTTACTTAGTACGTTAGTTATCATAAAGGTTTATTTTGATCTTACAGATTTTGATAATTGCTTTAAAAAAAAACAACTTTTGCCTTTTAGGAAAATAGCTTAGTTTACAATATATTAATTCCTTAAAAAACTAACAGTAATTGAGGCTTCAAATGTTATTCCCTCCCATATAATTTCATACATGAAAGACATGATTTGAAAAGACACTCACCATTCACATTATCAGGCAATTAATCAAAACGAACCAGAGAAAGGAAGAGAAAGAACAGTGCAGATGTTAGACTTTAGTTCAATGCAGATGAGAAATTAACATACGAAACTTCCTATCTATCAGGTTAGAGTCAAGACCACTGACAACAGGTGACCTCTGTACGTATATTGTCGTGGTCGCTGCAGAAACAAAAAGGCAAGAGAACACCGAAGAGAATCTTAAGGAACAGTTGTAGAGCATCAGGTGGAACAGCAAGAACTAGGTTCTTTGTGTAAAATGAATAAGTACAGTTTAACCAATTTAGGCTTTAAAAAACAGGATCACTTAGAAGACAATATTGAAACGTCAGTACGTGTGACACTGTGATTTGAACAAAAGGCACTGGCAGGCGGGGCCCCTCTGGACACGCAGGGCTGCTGTGACTCCGGAGGGAGGCAGATGTGGGAAGGAAAGACCCAGAGGATGTGTCTCAAGGAGGTTCACTTGCTGCACGAAGAGGCCTAGTGAGGACTGGGGTGACTGTCCTGGTTTCTGTTCTGAAGTAATCTGAGGAACTGCAGAGATTTAAAATTCACCCGGGGTCACGAGCTTTAAAAGGTCAATATTATACATAAAATAATGAAAAATACTTCAAGTGTGTTTCCAAAGTTCCTCAATATGGGCCAAATACTTGACAGGAAAATAGTCTGTAGGTAATACCAGCAATTAAAGTGGAACAATGAGGAACAAAATTATAATAATTCTGCATAATTAATAATTCCACATCTCACATTTCTTTTGACATTTTCTTAAGTCTCATTTTTAAGGCAACATAAGTAAAGCATAAAAACATAGTCATTGGGCCCTGATAATGTTGGGCTCACGATAGGTGTTGCACACACTGTCCACTGATTTATCTGTCCATCCAGCATGTATCATATGTTTATTCAGTAGCAGGCACTGTGTCAAGTGCTGGGGACCCAAAGCAAATATGATAGGACCCTTTATTACAAAGTCCATGGTTTAAAATATCGTACTTATAATACAAACTAGAGGCCCGGAGCATGAAATTCGTGCACAGTGGGGGTCCCCCTCAGCCTGGCTGGCACCCTCTCACAGTACGAGACCCCTCAGACATACCTCTTGCAATCAGGGACTACTGGCTCATGACCGCTAGCCTACCTGCCTGATCATCCCTAACCACTTGCCTACCTGCCTGATTGCCTCTAACTGCTTGCCTGCCTGCCTGATTACCCCTAACCATTCGTCTGCCTGCCTGATCTCCCCTAAGCACTCTGCCTGCCTGCCTGGTTGCCTCTAACTGCCTCTGCCCCCACCGTGGCTTCATCCAGAAAGACAGCCAGAAGGTTGTTCGGCTGTCTGGTCTAATTAGCATATTATGCTTTTATTATTATAGATAACAGTATAAAAAGTAAAGCCAATATGCAAGGGGAAGAATAATTTTTAAAAATGTAAGCATGTTACATACAGGCCTCGGGATTCTCACTAAGTAACTTCCTATGTCTGTCATACAGCCGACCCCGAGACCTGGGAACAAACTACCTCCTGCTCGATCAGGGCCATGAGAGGAGGAGGAGAAGTGAAAGAGGAGAAAGGCACGGTAAGGCAGAATTCTAACGAGGGGCCTTGTCTAATGCGACAGAACCACTCACCTTGGCCTTGCCTTCCAGAGCCCCGGTCCCGGCGTAGATCTTACTGATGGAGTCACCGTTCACCGACCACATGGAGCGGAAAACCTCCTGAAAGCGAGTCACCAGCTGGGGCTTCTCAGCCAAGCCGAGGGCTTCCAGCTGCTTGGCCAGCATCTGGAAGAGCCCAGAGTGACATTTGTGAGTGTACTGACGTGTTCACTGTGACGTGCCTCTCTAGGAACGACCAGAAGTAAACTGAAAACCTGCAGCGATACGACTCTGGGACTGGATTCTGCAAACATAATAGTTTACCAGGCTGTGTTGTTTCCACCATTTCTGTTTTTAAAGTAAAAACCACGTCAATGAAACTTACAAACAACTTAATATTCCCTTGTAGTAAGAATAGCTTTCTGGTTAGATGGTGAAATCATATTAAATTATCCCTGCAAATCATACTAACTTTACTTTGTTCTGTTCGTCTTACAGTGTTTCCCAAAGTGTGGTACGCGCAGCCCCAGGGATACGGGAAGAGTCTGGTGGGGGTATGCGTTGCACCGGAGTTTGGTGGGGATACGCACTGCACCGTGCTTAGCTGCGCCTAATTCTACGTTCTCATGAGTACGAGGGGTACTCAGCGTTATGAAAATTATAGAAGGGGTACACATATGTCAAAAGTTTGGGAAACACTACAAGAACGAATTATTCAACAGCATGGAGCAGAGCAGAAAAAATACTGACCTAGTTTATCTAAATGTGTGCAGAGTAACTAAGCTCCTTTAGGTTTTAGTCTTGGTTCTGTAAGTTTGGATAACAAGGTCCAGAGATTACTAGGAAAAAGAGCTGCTCTTGAACTGTCACAGAACACACTGACATTGGTGCTGTGTGCCCAGGGCCTAGGGGCACGCAGCAGGCAAGGGTCTCTGGCTCCCCACTCCCCTCCTCACAGGGCGCAGTGAGGGTGTCAAGCCATTGCTCTTTCTCAGGATGAACTGCAGCCTTGAAAGCTGCGAGTCCGAGCAGTACACAGCCCCCCGACCTACTTCTCTTATTGGAGTCCAGACCTAATGTATGCCTCGAGTTCACTCAACTCCGTCCTATTTGGGTTTTCTTTGACTTCACCTGTAAGTGCGGTTACTACCCATAAATCTCAAGGATCAAAATCAAAATCCTATGAAAACCCTACACCGGGTTTGACTGCGAGGGCTGATACCAGCACTGCCCCTAGCTGGCAGAGAATGAGGCAAACCAAGCCGGGTCGCCTCGTCATTCAGACCGCTGTGCCTTTAAGAAGGTGGGCAAGCTGGTCTCACTGCTAGGCTGGCTGTGCCTGCTTCACTAGTACACTTGGTAACCACTTAGCCACATTCTCACCCTGACGAGCAACAGTGGCAAGCCACTGAGTCAGATTCTGAAAAGTGTATTACAAATCGTTAAAGGGCCTCAGTCACTCCCTCTCAGAATCCACACCAATGCATCCAACCAGCTAAAAACAGAGCTAGCAGCACCAAGCCGCACAAAAACTCCATCCACAAGGCAAGTGCCTGCTTTCACTTTTCTTGTTTGTCCTATTTTTTAAGTAAATTAAAATGAGAATCTCAAAGCCAGATTTCAGAAAAGGCAAGCAGTAAAATGTATGTAGTTACTTGAGAAACATCTCAAAAGACACTTCTGTAGCAGAGCACTCCGCACACCATGGTGTCATTTGTGAGACACAAAGGACCGCAGCTGCCAGCAACTCATTAACCAACATCCTGGCCCCCATCTGAGGATGCGCAGAGGAAACAGGACCGTGGGGCTTCCTGTTCCTGTCTCCACGCCTCTGAGGACTGCGCTCAGTGGGCTCAGTCCCTGAGGAAGGAGTAAATGAGGACGCCCCCAGCCGCAGCCCTCACTGCACAGGACAGGAAGGACTTTGCCAGCAGGGGGCAGTGGGTCTGTGCTGACACTGTGTCTGTATTTGACTGAACCTGATGGCAAGGGGTAAAGAAAAGGGGTCTTTACACAAAAACCACTGGAGAAGCCGAATCTCACACTTTCATTCTCGCTAACACAGCCCAGTCCTTAGAGGCACTGACTGGCAGGCGCCATGCAGGCTGCACTGGGGACAGGCCGTCCACACGCACCCTACAGGCTGGGCATGGTCACAGAGCCTCCCCACTCCAAGAAACCTTTAAAGGACCGCCCAGAGAATGAGCACAGCGCAGATAGACGTATTTCTTCTTCTGCTTCCAAAAGAGGCAATTACTGGACCAGCAGAAGCAGCAAGGCTGTGTTTATAGGAAAAATTAATAACGGAGAAAACACAGCTCTACTTAGAGAACAGGAAAAGGGAACTAAAAAGACAAGGGATGTTGCGGGGAAAAAAGACTAGAAGAGAAATGCCTTTACTGAACCTACCTGCTCTGGGGCGGTCATGAGAGCCACTGAGAGGTGCCAAGCCATGCACAGGACGGCCACGCATAGTATGGCCACCCACAGGATGGTCCCGCACAGGATGGCCACTCACAGGGCGGCCAGCACAGGATGGCCACGCACAGGATGGTCCCGCACAGGATGGCCACTCACAGGGCGGCCAGCACAGGATGGCCACCCACAGGATGGTCCCGCACAGGATGGCCACGCACAGGATGGCCATGCACAGGGCGGCCATGCACAGGATGGCCACGCACAGGATGGCCACGCACAGGGCGGCCAGCACAGGATGGTCCCGCACAGGATGGTCCCGCACAGGGTGGCCACTCACAGTATGGTCCCGCACAGGATGGTCCCGCACAGGGTGGCCACGCACAGTATGGTCCCGCACAGTATGGTCCCGCACAGTATGGTCCTGCACAGGATGGCCACGCACAGGGCGGCCACTCACAGTATGGCCACGCACAGGATGGCCATGCACAGGGCGGTCAGGGCGGCCACGCACAGTATGGTCCTGCACAGGATGGCCATGCACAGGGTGGCCACGCACAGTACGGTCACGCCCAGGACGGCCATGCACACACACTGGTCCCTTACCTCCAGGCCCAGGAAGGCCTGCACACTGTTGGTCCTGTCCAGGCAGTCCAAGCAGTTGGTGCGGACAGTCCCACTCTGGCACCTGCAACAAAGTCACTCAAGTTAAAGAGCTTGTTTGAGGCAAAAACGACAGAACTCAAACAAACCGAAAAAACTAAGGTGATTAAAAGGTAGCATCCACTTTCTCCCCCAATTTCTTACCATTACAATTTTCAAACATACAGGAAAGGTGAAGGAATTTTACAGAGAATATCCATCTCCTCACCAGGCCCTACAACTGTTCCCATTTTGCCTCCTATTCTTTATCACACACTACCTGCTCCTCCACCCTCTTACTCTTAACTAGGCCAGCAGTCAGGAGCTAAGTGTACATTCAGACTTACAACACCGTGGTTCTCTGCACATAAAAGATACCACACGTTTAAGAAATAAACTTTGAAAACCTAACATCTCTTATCTCTACTGACTGTCCTATGAAGTTTCCATAGCATTGATTCTAAATACTGTACGCTGAAAAAAATGTGTTCTTTACTGCAGCTTACCTCAACCTGTATTCTTTTTTTTAATATATTTTATTGATTTTTTACAGAGAGGAAGGAAGAGGGATAGAGTTAGAAACATTGATCAGCTGCCTCCTGCACAACTTTTACTGGTGATGTGCCTGCAACTAAGGTATATGTCTTTGACCGGAATTGAACCTGGAACCCTTCAGTTTTCAGGCCGATGCTCTATCCACTGAGCTAAACCGGTTTCGGCTCAACCTGTATTCTTAATTTCAATCTCTCAATACTTACTTCCTCCTCTACTTAATATGCAAAAGCTAACACTAAATTACACTGAAGTAGATAAATATGTAACGTCTTTCACTTCTATTTGCAATAGTTGTCTTTACCAGGTCAAAAACATTAAAGCATCATTTTAAGAGAAAAGTGGAACAGCCTCGCAGTAACAGGCTGGGTTCAGGAGCCTGAAGGATTCCAGCTCTCACACACCCTGATCACATGACAAGGGCAGGCTATGCCAATGCCTTCATTTCCTCCCCTGCAAAAAGGGGTAGGATAGGACCTCACATGGAAACCCAGGGGCACTGCCTGGCCACAAAGTGACCTATTATTATTACTAGAGGCCCGGTGCATGAAGAGATTCATGCCTTCCTCCCCTTGGCTTCCAGCACCGGTTTTCCTCCAGCACCCGGGACCCAGGCCTTTGCTCCGGTCGGAGTCTGCGATCTTTGTCTTCGCTGCAGCCAGAGTGTTGCTCCTATAGATCCCTTAAGACTCCCTCTCCCCCCGACCCTCCCTCTCACAGCAGACGTCCTGCCCAACCACTCTGCGCTTGGAGCAGCTGGGTGGCCACCAACTTTATCCTTCTAATTTGCATGTTCCCTCCTGATTGGCTGGTGGGCATAGCACAGTGATGGTCAATCTGCATGTTTCTCTTTTATTTACCTGCTGAATTCTCAAGAAAGGAAAACAAACCTAAAATCAAGTATAACCATTATAAACTTTGATTTTAGAAGACAGTTAAGGGTGTAATGTTCAGAGTCATTTCTAAACTATAGCAAAGTTCCAATTTAAAGGAGAGAGAAACAGCAGGCGAACCTTCGAACGTCGTTTCCGTCGAAATGGAAGAAGCCATAATCAAGGAACTTCCGGACCTGAGGCCCGAGGGCGCCGTGCAGCTTCTCGGCCTTGCCGCCCTTCACCATCTGGTGGTAGTCGAAGCTCACCATGTGCACGTCGGCGGCGTGCTCCGAGGCCTTCAGGTGGCTCTGGAAGGGAAGGCAGGCTCACCAGGGGTGGCGCACCATGCCCGGTGTGCGCGGCGACGGAGCCCTCAGGGCGCGGGCCTTCAGCCAGCCGCAGCCAGGCACCGGACGCCATGTTTCCCCCAGCCCTCCTGCCCGTCCCGGGCGCCCTGGCGATGGGCTGCCAGAGAGCTTACGTCACATTCTCACCTGGTGTAGGAAATGAGAAACTAGTTCCACCCACTCACATTTCATGTTTACAATCCAAATTTAATAACTGTTTATATCTGCCATAAATCTCAAAATAAAGTGGTTCTTTTTTAAGACAAAGACTATAAAACATAAAATTATTTTTTTATATATTTGTTCAATACATAAAAATGCTTTGAAAGTTTACCATAAAAAGTTATTCCCAAATGTATAATCTGTTTATAATATTTATTTCACAAAGTTAAACAAAATAGCTGAATAGTTCTGGAGCTCGTTAGATTGATTTAAGGAAATGTTTTCTAACCATCCTGTTTAAGCTTATAATTCTACTAACATCATGGTTTATATAAATTATTGAATTGGTGTTCATGAAGAACATGTTTTCTTTCTTTTTTAAAAAAAAATTTTTTTTTTTTGATTTTTTACAGAAAGGAAGAGAGAGGGATAGAGAGTTAGAAACATCCATGAGAGAGAATCATCGATCAGCTGCCTCTTGCACACCCCCTACTGGGGATGTGCCCGCAACCAAGGCACATGGCCCTTGACCGGAATCGAACCCAGGACCTTTCAGTCCGCAGGCCGTGCTCTATCCACTGAGCCAAACAGTTTCGGCATGGAACATGTTTTCTTTAAAAGGCTTATCTTTCACTTGAGATTCTCACATTCCTCTCATCAACGTGAGCAGGTGTGCTCCTGCTGTACGTCAATGCCTTCGTCATCACCTCAAGGGCTGACACAGTGCCCGGTTTCCAGCAGCGGGTGAGCGGTCCCGGGGGGAGGAGCCCACCAGGGGGAGGAGCACACCATCTGGGTCTGGGCCCCAGGATAGAGGGACACTCGGGGGAGGATCTTCTGCTCCACCACCACAGCACAAGCTACTTCGGGACAGGGTCAACTGCCTTGAGAACTCCCCACGACCCCAGCTTCACAACATCACCCCAACTGCTCCCTACCAGCCCGCAGGCTGATGGCTCCCACAGGCCCATCCTTTCTCTAGGAAGCCACTTCCCTCCGGCAGAATTCCAGGCCTCTCCTGCGAACTGTTCAACACCTTCTTACCTGGAAGGCCTTGCTCAGCATATGTTCCCCTTCCTTGGAGCCAAGCAGATTTATCACTATTTGTTTGCCATACAGCGTCTTCAGTGTCCTAAAATGCCTGTTAAAGAAAGGAAACAGGCACATGTCAGCTGATAATTCTTTTCAATAAATAAGAATCCAGTATTAATGAGAACTTCCATGATCCTGTCTAAGCTCACAGAACCGGTAAACTGAATACAAGTTCATCCCACGTGGACTTCTCATGAACGGATGAGAACTCCATTAGCAGTGTCCTCTACTGTGGGTGCCGAGCCCCCGCTGCCTGGAGCTGCGGGATCCGCCGGTCCCTCCCCCGGGGAGCCCGGTGCTGGCCCAGCACAGAGAACACACGCACAGAGGGCACAGGGCTGCCCCTCACACCGAGGGCATCGCAGCCTCTTTGAGACTGAACCCCATGCACCCAAACCCCATCTACATGTGATCAATATACTTAAAACACGTGAACACCGTGCTAGGCACTTAAATTCTTTTTGCACAAAGTGCCTGAAATCCAGTGTACACGTTACACTCCAGCGCATCTCACTACGGGCCAGTCATGTACCAACAGCGGCTCGGGGCTCGGGGCTCGGGGCTGCTGTGTGGAGACCAGTGCTGCCACTGCTAGAAGTCGTAACACTAGGAGTCACTGTCCTCCAGTTAAGTTAGAAGTCAGGAGGAATTTTACTCGAGCCACAAAACGTAAAATGAGTCAGTAAGTGTAATTACAACAGGTCTCCCTGCTTAACAAGTTCAAATCCGAGAGCACCGTGTAAAAGAACCAGCCCTACCTGTCAAAGGCGGGCGCGTTGGCCTCAAAGCCCCTGGACATCCGGACGCGGTGCGAGCCCACCTGGGACAAGAAAGAGGTGTCACACCAACAGCCACATGAGCTCACACAGACCCCTGAACGGCACCAATGCATTCGCTCCACTCAGAGGACGCCCATACTGACTGCCACTCACCAGTCTCTTAAAGAGACAAGTTCTTAAAAAAAAAAAAAATTTCTCCTCCCAGTTTATTTTTTAAAACGCAACCTCATAACCAAAGAGCTAGAGGTCAGCCATTATGAAACACTGTGAACTAAGAGGAAGTTCTGGTTGTGAAAGGCATGTTTAAGCAGAGACCCCTCACACAGTGCTGACCGTGAGCCAGGCACTGGTCTGCGGACCCCTCGTTCCATCCGCGTGAGAGCTGAGAAGCAGCTCCACTACTACTGTCTCTCCCGCTCAGAAAGGAGTGCTGAGATGCTGAGACACCGCAAGCCAGCACCCCCACCCCCGCCCAGGCCGCAGGAGCAGAGGGAGAGGAAAGACTATTCAGAAGCTTTGTTCTTAGTGACGGCATCTTCCTGCCCACAGAGGCCAAGCTATTATGTACTAAGACACTGAGAGCAAATACGGACACTAAAAACCAATGCACTATGAAAGCATCCAATCTTTATTTATAAAGCATCAAACACAGCAGCTCAATTTCTACGGATGTTGAAAAAACATTATAGGAAAAGAATATCTGATATAATTTCAGGAACTCTGCACTCAGACCTGTGTTTATGAATCTAGCTAATATTATTAGATTGAGTAACAGAACTATCCAGTGAACCAACAGACGATCCTGAAAACTTAAAGCACATGGAAACCTTCAAGAGACTGAAACAACAACATGGAACACCTACCTGCAAGCCTGGCTGCTCCCAGAACAACGGGACCGAGCCCCGGATCTGGATGAAGGAGGAAACAGAGCCATCCAGGTACACGGCCTGCAGAGAGAAACACGGATAAACAGTCCCGCAGACACAGCTGTGACCTCTAGTTAGGAGATAAAACTTACTAATACTGGTTGCACAGGTGGTATCTTATGTCCCACCTCTCACACACAAATTGTTCTAACAAAATATCCCCTGTATATATAGATTGGGGCAAAAGTGGGTTTATAATGGTTTGTGTGGAAAATAATACGATAATTAACAAATAATAATAACACAAGATTAAACTCTGTTTTGTGCATACTCCTAACTGTAAGGCACTTTTGCCCCAACCTGTATTAACCAGAAAAATATCCTGTATAATAAAAGGCTAATATGTAAATTGTCCCCTCAACTGGGAGTTCAAACAGGGGGCGGGGCCAGCTGGCCAACCACCCTGGACCCTCCCCCACAGCCGGCCTGGCCCGATGGGCCCCTATCGGGGTGGACTAGCTAGACACTACCTATGCACAAATTCGTGCACCAGGCCTCTAGTTAGATATATAAACATTGGAATTACAGCTTTTTAAACATTATATACCTTTCTATTTTTTATACACATACCTTTCTATTTTCACATATTTTTTCTTTAGTTTTTCATATTTTTTAAAAATTTAAATTGTGAGTTGGGCTTAAAGCATAGACTAAATTTGCAATTATCTAGTTTCACAGCCGAAAGTATCACAATGTTTAAGTTTAGATGGTTCAAGTATCTACAGATGAGAGTTGGGATTGACTTGATTCGCAGAAAACACTTTCCTGAGTGTCTAGCTCTGTCCACGAGGATTTTAAATTCAAACTAAAGGGCAGGCCTTGTGGCCGTGCTGAGCAGGGAAACGCCTGCTCCAATTTGAAGAGTGTGCCCACTCCAGGGCAGGGCGCTCAGGGTAGCTTATCTGAGCGCCAAGCTGTGAATAACCAGTAAATGGCAGGCCGATGTCAAAAATGGGTTCTGAGCCTTAACCGGTATGGCTCAGTGGATAGAGCGTCGGCCTGTGGACTGAAGGGTCCCAGGTTCGATTCCAGTCAAGGGTTTGTACTTTGGTTGCGGGGGGGTGTGCAGGAGGCAGCTGATCCATGTTTCTCTCTCTATCTCTCCCCCTTCCTCTCTTTAAAAAAATCAATAAAATATATTTTTTAAAATGGGCTCTGAGTCCGAGAAGCACCTGCTACCCACTGTGTCCGCGCCTCCCCGCACACAGGAGCAGTAAGCCCGCGCACCTGCTCCGTTTCCACAAAGTTGGCGACGTGGCCGTCGTCGTTGGTGCCCCGGACGTTGAACCGGGTGCCGGCGCGCTCGCAGCTCAGCCGGGAGATGAGGCAGGCCTTGGCCTGCTTGTGGGCCGCGTAGATGGTCCTGACCTCGACGCCGCCGCACATGAGGCGCAGCAGCCAGTCGTCGCAGCTCACGCCGTAGTGCTGCAGGTGCAGGTGCAGGGACTGGTTCCTGGAGAGAGGCGGCCGTCAGCGGAGCGCAGGCAGCACGCGCCCCATCTGGGACCCGCAGTAACCAAAGGCACCGAGAGCGTGCCGGTGTGTGGTTTCCCACGCCAGGCCTCAGAGGGCTGGGCTGTGAAACCACAGCCCCGGATGTGACCTGCGGCCCAGCGGCAATGCCTGTCTTTACCTTTCCCACACGTCCGTATCTCGTCCGTCCGAGCGGTGCAGGGTTGGCCTGAGCAGCAGAATCTGTCCCTCACCTGCGCACTCCCGCCCTCCCACCCCATCTCCTCCACTGCTCCTTATTCACAGCACTGACTGTACCCGCATCCCATTCCTACTGAGCCAACTAACATTAAATAAGGGAACGTTGGCTTAGGAAGGCAATACTGCCAGAGATAAGACCTCAAAACTTGCCAAGACCGGTTTGGCTCAATGGATAGAGCGTCAGCTTGGGGACTGAAGGGTCCCAGGTTCGATTCCGGTCAAGGGCATGTACCTTGGTTGCGGGCATATCCCCAGCAGGGGGTGTGCAAGAGGCAACTGATCGATGACTCTTTCTCATCGATGTTTCTAACTCTCTATCTCTCTCCCTTCCTCTCTGTACAAAATCAATAAAAATATATTAAAAAAAAAAAAAAAAGACCTCAAAACTAAGAACAACAAAATGAGTAATACAATCCTATTATAACTGATTTGCTCCCGATTTAACTGTAGATCTTATAGCTATTTCTGAAATGAGGGGTCAGTCGAGATCAGGGGGAGCAAATGGGCTTCATGTCACATGACAACGTCCATGCAGTGACAGTGGTGCCTGCCTTGCCCTGCTGCGGATTCTGGGGCAGGGAGGGTGTGGCCGCACGCCCACGCAGCGCCTCTGGAGTGAACGCTGGCCCACGTGGCCGCTGCTCGGACTCACCAGAAGAACCTGTTGTCGGTCGTGTGCTCCTGCATGCTGCGATGGGCGCTCAGACTCAGGTCCAGACTGGCCCCCGAGGCAGACCACGCGAAGTAGAAGCTCCCCGAGCTCAGCACCTTGCGCACTTCGGACACGCGGTCCTCGTCGGGGTCGGCTCGCAGGGGTATGAATTCGGTGGAAGTCACTCGGAACACTTCAGATTCCTGGATTTTCCCCACGGACATGCAGCCGGTGACGAGGACCAGGTAGTGCAGCATGGTGTCGCCTGCAGGGAGCAGACGGCGGTGACTAAGGGTTTGAGAGACGCCATCTGTGAGCTTCCGGCGCGGTGACATCTTTCAACCTGGTTACCTAACCAGATGATGCCGGCGGGCGGAAGGCCGGCCGCCTGTCCAGGTTAATGATGCTGATGATAAACTTACCCAGATTGAGTCGTAAGACACCGAGGAGTCCGTACGCATCCAGCACTTTGGAGTATGTACCCTTGATTGCCTCCTTTTCTGCAGAAGCTACAAAAAAGGGTTCAGGGTCAGAAACAAGACTTGATACATCATGTTTTACTTAGCTATAAAGTCAGAGTTTTAACCAAAAAGTTCTAAATCTACATCGCATTCTTTTTTTTATATATATATATACTTTATTGATTTTTTACAGAGAGGAAGGGAGAGGGATATAGAGCTAGAAACATCGATGAGAGAGAAACATCGACCGGGGATGTGCCCACAACCAAGGTACATGCCCTTGATCGGAATCCAACCTGGGACCTTTCAGTCCACAGGCTGATGCTCTATCCACTGAGCCACACCAGTTTTGGCCTAAATTGGATTCTTAACAAAGGTGTTGTAAAGATACTTTCTCTGACTTGAAGCCTAAATGTTCTTCCCAGAGAGTGAGCCCACGTGCTCCAGCACTGCCTACTGGCCCATCCCTCCCACCAGCGTGAGCAACAAGACCTGATAACCTTTGTTTGGGTTGTGATTTTTCTCTTCTCCCCGCTGACGGTCTGACTGTTGTACCGCTACACCCGGCGCTAGGAGGCCCTTCAGGACGACACAGCTCCGTACCAGAGCTCTCAGAATCAGCCTCAGGCACCTTCCTGTTTCGTTTCTCATCTCCCCCGCCTCGCACCCCCTGCTTAACCACACACTCTCACCAGCGTGGCCGTCTGCACTTCGGACTTGGACTGGGACTCGCCCCGTCTCAGTCTGCCCCTGGCACAGCAGCCGGGCCTCCGGCCTGCAGGGCTCTCCCCCCTGCCTCCTGGCAATTCCCTTCACCTATGACCACGAGGCAGAAGGCCATTTTCTGGACGCCTGTTTGCACTCGCCCAGCACGGCAGGTCAGAGCTGTATCTGTCCTCCCCCCTCCCTTACCAGGCTGCCCGAGGCAGCAGCCCCGTCCTCCTCCTCCGTCCATCCCCACGTCCATCCCCAGGCTAGACCAGGGGTCACACTCAGGGACTGAGCACCGTTTACAGATGACCTCAACCACACACAGCTTCGCCTGGGAACAGGAAACCTGCCGTCTGGCCTTAGTCTTGCTTCTTCTTCTTTTTAAAAAAATATATTTTATTGATATTTTACAGAGAGGAAGGGAGAGGGAGAGAGCGTTAGAAACGTCGATGAGAGAGAAACATCGACTAGCTGCCTCTTGCACACCCCCTACCGGGGATGTGGCCGCAACCAATGTACATGCCCTTGACTGGAATCGAACCTGGGACCTTTCAGTCTGCAGACGGACGCTTTACCGCTGAGCCAAACTGGTTTCGGCAGTCTTGCTTCTTCCACAATAAAGTAATGTTATCTTGCTAATGGGCATACCCCACAGAGTAAGTGCTGTATGGCAGGCTGTTTGATTTATAAATTAAGAAAGAAAAAAACCCCACCTCTGGAACTTTAAAGGAAAAACCTTCCTTGTTCTTAGCAAACACAATGATTAAAGATTTGACAGAGAACCAAAGTGCACCACAGCTAGATCTCAGAGGCAATCACAAACAATGCCTCCCTCACCTACAGCAGCAGCAAGGCCCGGAGCGCTCCTCCCTCTGGCCCCCTCCCAGCCCGCATATTCCTGAAGGAAGAAGCGGAATCTCCAAAGGCACTAAGGGAGGAAACCACCCCCCCCCCCCCCCCCCTGCACATCTTTCTCAACAAGGAAGAAAGATCCCTTTATTTTAGGAAACTCCATGAAATACGTAGAAATATATGATGTAACAGGGAGAGACCTAATGGAATTATTGTCCCATTTCTCAGCAATGTAATCTAGAAAATAATGTGAGTCTCCCACTCAGAGAGGAGTTACAAGCCATGCAGCTTTATTTATTTATTTATTTAATACATTTTATTGATTTTTTACAGAGAGGAAGAGAGAGGGATAGAAAGCCAGAAACGTCGATGAGAGAGAAACATCAACCAGCTGCCTCTTGCACACCCCCTACTGGGGATGTGCCCGCAACCAACTTACATGCCCTTGCCCAGAATCGAATCTGGGACCTTTCAGTTTGCAGGCTGATGCTCTACCACTGAGCCAAACCGGCTTTGGCGCCATGCAGCTTTAAAGCAGAGTAAACAGCCTTTAGAGCACAGGCACTAGTTAATCCCTCACTGCCCCCCCTTCCTGCTCTCCCACAGGAGTCCCAGGCAGCCACACTCTCCCGGCTCCTCTTCTGGCCCGTCTTTCCATCGGGAATACCGTCCGTCACCTTTCCAAATGCTCAGTGCATCCTCCATAGCAAACTCAGACGCCACTTTCCGCCCAACTCTCCCCCCTCTGGCTGCACGTCGGTCTTCCTTCGGTGTCTCGCACAGCACACGCCTGCACCCTGAAGTAACAGGAGCCGGGTCTCCTCTCTCTGAATCTCAGCGCAACACAGACCCAACCCGGAGAGTGGACAGTGCGGTGCTGAGTGTGCATCGGACAGACAGACTGAGAGGCTCAGCACCAAAGGAATTGTTTTGTTAAAATAATACATAAAAAGAGACACTTTTTTAATCCTCACCTGAAGGTATTTTCCCATTATTATTATTATTATTATTTTAGAGCACATGTGTCAAATACAAGGCCTGCGGGCCAAATCCGTCCCGCCAGGCCTTGCAATGTGGCCCGCACCGCGCTGTCATCACTGCACTCCGCTGCGTTTCCATCACAATGACAGTTTATGACTGTTCAGTAAACCATTCGGCCCGCGATTTAGGCTGGATTTTAGATTTTGGCCCCTTCTCTGATTGAGTTCGACACCCCTATTTTAGAGAGAGGAGGGCAGGGAGGATGGTGGGGAGAGGGAGAGAAACATCGATGCAAGAGTGACACATCAACTGGTTACCTCCCACACGTGCCCTGACTGGGGCTGGGGATCTACAGTAACTGCAACCCAGGTCCAGGCCCCTAACCACTGGGCACACCGGCCAGGGCAGAAGAGAAACACTTTTCCCTGGCACGGGCAGTATCTGAATGCTCTCTTATTGCAACTAAGCCTCACAGGGACGTCTGGAAGGTCAAAGGCGAGGCTGTGTGTCCCTGGTGGGACTGAGGGTGGGCGTGGGAGACAGGCGTTGTTACATTACTCCAACCAGGTGTAAACCAGGAGCTTGTCAAGTGCTAAGTGTGTGGTGTTCTTGGCAGAGCCAAGGGCAAGGAAAATGGAAATGGAGTCCGGGCGTGGGGACAGGAAGCTCAGGTCACTCTGCCACCCTGAAGCTCCTGCTCACCATGTCAACACTGCAGTGGCCATGCCTCCCAGCTGGGGGACCGCCGTCTCTGGGTGGCTGGGAGGAAGGGGGGCTATGGGGACAGCCGTCTCTGGGGTGGCTGGAAGGGGGCTATGGGGACAGGAGTCTCTGGGAGGAAGGGGGGCCATGGGGACAGGGTCTCTGGGAGGAAGGGGGGCCATGGGGACAGGAGTCTCTGGGAGGGAGGGAGGGGGGCTATGGGACAGGAGTCTCTGGGAGGAGGGGGGGCTATGGGACAGGGTCTCTGGGAGGAGGGGCTATGGGACAGGAGTCTCTGGGAGGAGGGGGGGCTATGGGACAGGGTCTCTGGGAGGAGGGGGGGGCTATGGGACAGGGTCTCTGGGAGGAAGGGGGGCTGTGGGACAGGGTCTCTGGGAGGAGGGGGGGCTATGGGACAGGGTCTCTGGGAGGAGGGGGGCTATGGGACAGGGTCTCTGGGAGGAGGGGGGCTATGGGACAGGGTCTCTGGGAGGAGGGGGGCTATGGGACAGGAGTCTCTGGGAGGAGGGGGGGCTATGGGACAGGAGTGTCTGGGAGGGGGGGGCTATGGGACAGGGTCTCTGGGGGGGGGGGGGCTATGGGACAGGGTCTCTGGGAGGAGGGGGGCTATGGGACAGGGTCTCTGGGAGGAGGGGGGCTATGGGACAGGAGTGTCTGGGAGGGGGGGGGCTATGGGACAGGAGTGTCTGGGAGGAAGGGGGGCTATGGGACAGCAGTCTCTGGGAGGAGGGGGAAGGGGGAGCTAAGAAAGTTAATGAGAAAGAACGAACAGGGTGACAGAGGGCGTGACCTTCCTAGAACTGCGCCTGGCCTGCGGCTGCACGCCCCGTGGCTGCGGGCAGGGGATTTGCATGCGGGCAGCACAGGGCGGCAGACCAGAGCCTCGGGGTAGGAAAGCTCAGTGATGAGGCAGATGGCACAGCGCTGGCTTCCAGACAGAGACTGGAGGTGGGTGACTCAGCCGCGCTCCCAGACCCAGCCGCAGGAGAGCCTGCTGCACACAAAGGGAAGAATGTTCCACAAGGCGAGGCTTTCTCTGCATAATTAAATAACCAAAACTCCAGCTGAAGACAGTGAACCATCCAAATTAATGGTCCACTTTACACGTTTCAATCTCGGCCACAGGCCTGAACAAAACCGCCCTTCCCACGTTCACGCCAAAGTAGGTGCCGAGTGCTCCCAGGTCCAGCGCCCACCCGCTGGGAGAGGCAGCGCCCCAGCAGCCACACGCACAGGAGCGGTCTGGACGAGCTGGTGCAGTGCCCACAGACTGCCACCGCCTCACGCAGATCCTCTGCAAAGAGGCCTCTCCACTGCGGCTGAGGAACTACGGGCGAGCCGATGAGAGGAGGCGGCACAGGTGCCTGGGCGGTGGACACAGCCTCCGCCCAGCAATCCCATCCCGGACAGCCCACCCACCAGCAAGGTGGGCGCGTGGGTGTCACACCCGCGGCATTCTAACAGGACAGACGCCCGCGGCATTCTAACCCGCGACATTCTAACAGGAAGAGCCACACACGGACCACCACACGGCAACGGAAGTTAACATGCTACTGTCACAGGCTACCACGTGGGTGGTCTCCCACGGGGGCCGCCGAGAGGACGAAGCGGACACAGCAGACAGAGTGGATGGCCATTTCTGTCCAGCTCAAAGGCAGACCAAGAAGTGGGGCCAGGAACCCCCTTCGAGGGTCAGGGGGAGGTCGCTGGGAGAGAGCCCACCACGCCCCACTCCTCCACCTGGGCCGGTAACGTGCGAGGGTCACCATGCATCAAGCTGT